TATATTATAATAATTTTACATCATTGAAATGAACCCAAACATCTAACTGTTTAAAAAAGTTCAAATCTTATATGTTTTTATAGAAAAATCTTATACAACGATTGGTAAATAATTAGCTGTAAATAAGTAGCATAAATAAAAGCACAAAACATTTCGAATTGAATGTGTCACCAGTGATGACAGTTCAATCAATAATTGAAATCATAAAAAACGATGTCATGTTCAAATATTTATCTGTAATTATTTATTTACCATTTAGTAAAATGTTGGTAAAAAACTGATTATCTGAAAAGATATAGTAAAAAAAAAGGTGAGAATAATAATTTAATTGCAAAGTGTAATAAACATTGCTTTAAACAAATTAAAATCACTAAAAATACAAAAAAAAACAAAAACAAAATTCTAATAAAACACAAATTATGAGCATATTGTTGTAAATTATAACAATCCGTATCGAACTTATAATAATATTATAGTCCGTGGTGATAATAATGCCTGTTATTTTCATTTGCACTGTGTTCAATAGTGTGTAGGTTTTTTTCTTGAATACATACCCAATCTATAAATAAATCACAATTAATAATTATAGATTATTAATACATTAAACTATGTTGATATAATATTACAAATGACGCGCGACTCAAAAGAAAGTACCCTTATATTTCAATAATTTAGAGTATTTAGACACACACAGTTACTGTTAAATTATTATTATAATTATCAACAATTCAAACAATGTTTTTTCGTCTTTCGTGTAAGTGTTTTTTTTTTTTTTTTGTTCACGTCCATTAAGTTTGCGCTAAAACACATTCCTAAAATAATTTCCATTATTTTTTTTTCTTACCACGCTCGGTTGAGTATACTTTTAGACTATATTATAATAATACGTATTATAAATATGCATACTCGTGTATATTATAGTAACGACGCAACAATACCGATTCGGTAAAATGTCGATCGGTATAATAAATTTGTCTACGATGACCCATGGTCTCGGTAGAAGTGAACGTCCCGTTTAATTATAGATACATCAGGAACATAATGCAAGTGACCGACGAGTACACCTATTAAAGTGAATCGTTTAAAATCGATCACAGGGTGTGGAAAACCTCTTGGATCGTTGAGCTCTTTGTGTAAACACTATTCTCGTGTATTCTTTTCTGCAGATATTATAATATATTATTCTTTATATAGCCTACTTTCACACAGGTCGTCGCATTCAGTCGATCTTAAAGATAATGATAAAATATATATTTATATTCATATTCATATTATTATTATTATTATTGCTATTATAGTCAACGCGTTTGTATAGCTCTAGCAGTCAAACTGTGGGAATAGTGCATGTGTGTACGATATTAAAATGTTCTATAACCAACATGTATTATAATTTACGAATCTCTTCTATTTGACCAATTCGTTAATTCGATACGTCGTACTTATATTAGTTGAGATCGTAAACAAACGATCGATTTTGGCCAATTCATCTTCGATACCTATATGAAATATGTAGGTATAATGACTACCTACATATAGCTAAACACCATACGACCACTGAACTGTAGGCACGATGCGTTCGTCGAAGTCGCCTCCGGTATAACGCAAATTTTCGCTACTCATCTAGAAGGTGGGTCAAAATTATTAAAATTTCCAATGAGGTCACTGCAATCAAATTTTATTTGATTTTAATTAGTATTTTAACCTTTGTCGTGTGAAAAAGTACCAATAAGTGGAAATAATTATGTGTTCATCATCGATATATACATATTAAAGTTCTTAGTGAAAATATCGATTAAACTGTTCTGTGTAAAAAAAAAAAAAAATTAAATTTATTCCTGATATGACATACAATCATAATATCATAAAATATATCCTTATATTCATAAGTGTTCTTTGTAATGTTGACATTATATGAGATAAATAGTTTATATATTTCGTTAATATTTATGTAGAGTACAGAAACATATAGTAAAAAAAAAAATATATATATAAATATGGATAAAAACATCATGATTGAATATTTTAATACATACCTCATATAAGTTTGAATTATTGTTGGCTATCTAATCCGATTTTTTTTTTTAAAGTATAATTTATTATGTTTTATAAACTGTCGATAATAATGGATGGATCATAATTCATGATTTTTTTTTTTTTTTTAACAAAAATGTGTTATTAATTAAAACAATAGTTTATGAATATTTTCAAAATTATCGTCACATACTAATAAAATTAATACAAATTTAGATTTATACTAAATAGTATACAATTTTATTTATACTGTCGATAATAATGGATGGATCATAATTCATGATTTTTTTTTTTTAACAAAAATGTGTTATTAATTAAAACAATAGTTTATGAATATTTTCAAAATTATCGTCACATACTAATAATTAATACAAATTTAGATTTATACTAAATAGTATACAATTTTTTAAAATAAAATCAGAAATATAAAAACTTGAAAAGTTGCTGTACAGCAAGTTTCAAGTGATTTCCAACATTGAGTCAAGTGGGTTCCAATAAAGGATATGTTACATATAAATTCAAAGATATAATAGGTATTCTATATTTAATATTTATATATGTAATGAAAATCGATTCTGAGTAAAGTCATTTTATCAGACAATATTTTTAAAGAAATTTTATTATATATTTATATTTTATATTGCTTATTACTGTTAGTAATTAATTTTTCTATTATAATATTTATCTTTGTAAAAAAAAATTGAATTCAGTTATAAAATTTGCAGTAAAAATTATTTTCAATTTTTTGTGATTGTAATGAATTTTATATTATGAAAAATTAAGCCTGTATGTTTTTGATATTTATTAATTTTTAAAATATAGTTTATATTTTGTTTTACATTTTCAACATTTATAGAAAACATTTAAAATTTAAAAATACCAGAAATAGCTAAAAATTGATATCAATAATTTTTAAATTTCATTAGGTAAAAAAAATATAATTTAATGAGTTGTCTCACCTGCATTTGTTTTCTCCAATTGTTATAAGCATATTTTAAAAACAAACTTGTTCGGTGTTTCCACAAATTCCTGTATTAATATTTAAAATGTTGGGTATTAAAATTAAAAATCATTTAATAATGAAATAATTGACATATTTTTGTGATTTTTATGAATTTGTAAAATGTTGAACTTTAAACGCTTATAGATTGTGGTTATATATTTTCGATATGAATTGTATAGCTTTAAAAAAAATTTATTGGGAATCTTGTGATACATTTTCAAGATTTTTTATTCACCGAAAACTTTTTTATACAAACATATAATTTGAAAAAAACTTAATATGATGACAAATTTGAAATTTAATATGTTGAAAATGGAAAAAATATTTTGAAATTTATATCAGTTATAGAAAATGTTTACATTATTATTTGAAAAAAAAAACAAGTTTCTACAATTATTATTTATTCTTATAAATAATATTTGTGTAAAAATTCACGTTAATTTATGAAAATTTAATACTAAGTTTCTCATTAGCTAATTATAGCTATTCGAAAAATATTAAAGATATGTATATAGCTATACAGACACGGCTTTTTTTTTCATTTTAAATTCAAAGTTAACATGATTCGTTAATATTACAAAAATTCACCAATTTTTTCATGACTAAGAATTCATATAAGTACTCAATTTATATAGGTAAAACTTAAAAATGTAATACAAGGTTCCACATAAGTAATCTGTATTGAAACGATTATTAAAAAGTACAGTACAACATAATTTAATTAAGTTAGAATTTGAAAAATATTAGGTAAATATTTAAACATAGAAAAACGGTCTTAGTTATTCACATTAAGTAGATTCTTCTTTGGTCATAAGGAATTCATAGATTAGGTGTGAGTATTTTATTCGAAAACGGTTTGTAAAAATGTTGTATTTTTATTTGAGTTACGGATTATTCTATTTTATTATCTTGTTTTTAATTTGGTTTAATTCAATGTTTTGTAGTTTCTATAGACTTTGCTATTTCTGTTCGACATTTTTTTTATATAGTTATAATTTGTAATTTTATTTTAGGATGTATTTTTTAGCTTGAGAGTGGTTGGGTCAAATATTCAAAAATGTTAGAGAATATAAACTGTATTGTAGGTATATAATTAAATTTTATTTACACAATAATATTTTAAAAACATTAAGATTAATTGTATGCTATTCCCTATCTATACCATAGTCCACGAACCTATTGATAACGTTCAAAGATAATTTGGTATGGCTCAAAATATAACAGTTATATTATATTAATATTTAATATATTAAAAAAACCTATAGTTAAATTTTAAAAACATTATTGTATAACAACAATTTAAATGTATCTTAAAATATACTTGGTTGTATAGAATAATAATTATTGCAACCGTCAATCTTTCACAGAGATTAATAATTTAACTAATAAATGTATAACAGTGATTTCCTTGATGATGAGGTACACTCAATACCCATCGTAATGATTCTTACAATGGAGTGATTATCTACTTTTTCTAATTTTTAAGCTTTTCGTATTCATTTTTTTTTTTAGAGTGAATGATTTTTGCAGTAGTTGTCCATACTTAATATTGTAGTTATACTCAATTCAAGTAACATAATTAGCCGATGTTCATTAATACATGTGAATATCTGTTCGACAATCAAATCATTATCTTGACGGATCTTAAAGTGTTTCAGGTAATGATAATTTGTAACCGAAAATTATTTTATAGGTAGATAGTATGATATTAATATATATTAACTCGTGTATATCATTATCGGGATAATATTACATCGTGTATGTCTTGTAATTTTCAAAAAACGATTTTAAAATATCAACGGTAAAAAACAACGCGCGTATCACCTTCGTCGCAGTCTCGCCTAAACGCCACCGCCACTGGATACGTCACGCATAGTTCTCGCGGGTGTCGCTTAGGAAGGGGAGTCCGCCACAGCCACTATAATACTAGAAGGCCCGCTTAAACAGTCGTATAAAACGTCTTGGGTTCTTGTTCATCGCAGTTATATTGCTCTGGTAACGTTCGCGTCCGGTGCTCAGTGTTTTATTGAAATTCATTTTCGTCAAGTCTCTTTCATTTCTTCGATTTGCGTTCACGATTACTTATCATAATTTCGTATTTGCTCAATAGATTTATACAATACATAAACTAGCTATCTTTCTTCCGTTTCTGGCACGACGTACGATATTATTACCATGGTGTCGTGCGTAGTGTCAATATTGCTGACCACGGCGGCTTGGTGCATATCCGCCAGTGCCCTTGCCGTCCCGGAGATTATGACCGCAACCGTGTTAACGAACGGCTCGTCGGTGACCGCAGACTGGACTACACCGTCTGTGACCTTTACAGCAGAAGCCACCGAATCTTCACCGACCATAGTTGTGTACAATAGTAGCAGTGCTGACGACGACAACAGAGACTCCAGGTTCCTGAGTTTCTCAATGGGCTCAGACCAGGCGGCCGGAACCGCCACCAATTCGCTATTGCAAGAAAAACAGGACGAGCCGACCACCGACCCAAGCGCCCATCTAGTCGACATTTACACTGACTGTCTGATGCAGCTATCGTTCCCATGTGTCCAACGCAAATTACTGTTGTTCCTCGACAAACTTGGCAGAATGAAAGGTGAGTTTCAGAGGTCGTTGTAATTTTGTTTTTATTTACTCTCTGGGTATCTATTCATCAGCAAAGCGACTCAACAGTACAATTTATAACCAATTTTTAGTTTAAATATAATCGATTCGATAAATATCTAATAACTTTTATAAAGTATTTAAACGCGAGATCTTCGAATAAAGCTTTTGACATATTACCTGAAATGCATTCGTCGCCATTATTATACCGGCATGGTATACTTTTAACCTGTCTGCAAAAGTACCTACACATATAGCTTCGTCCGATGATTGAGCGAATAATAAAAAGAAATTATATGTATTATACGCATGGTTGTGTGGAGTTATGCCGTGAAAATGGTTTGGTGCTAAATCGGTTTCTGGGCGTTTAACGCGCTTTATTCGTTTGAAACACAAATTATCGGTCTGTGTATTCCATCCGTGAAATCTGTTAAGAAGATTTTTTTATGCGCCACAAGTATAATGTATAATACAATTTTATATTATATAAACAATAATAATAAAAGTATCATAACGCAGCGTATCACATAAAAGTAAAATAAAGACGAGAATGATTTTTGTTAAATTTAAAATATTACCGTTGAACAGTTGATATAAGTATTATAAGTGCCTATCCGATATGTTATCATGTAATCAGTTTGAAAAAAAAACTCTCCCATTGCTAAATTGTTTTTTCTTCTGTATAATATTCAATATTCTTACAAAAAATTTAGACAATAAACGTTTTATTCGAGTTTTATTATATTAATACCGTTGAAAATTTGATATGCGACTATGTTATTACCTATATATTGTGTAGTTTCGAAAATAAAAAAAAAAGTTTATATTATAAATTAAATTATACCATTGTAATGCACAAAAAAAAAAAAAAATAAAACCAAAATATCATTGCAATAATATTTTAAACAAAAAAATGATATAACTATAAAAGTACTTAAGTGTTTATACGTAAGTAATATAGTTGCGCAGATACACGCTCACATAATTTGATTGTATTATAGATGCGTACATGGTAACATTACCAAAATTGTTGCTCATTAAACACATATTTTATAGATAGGTATTTAATATTTAATCTATTTTATAGCTGTTTCATAAATTATTAACCTTTCACTATATTTTCGGTATAATTTGTGTAATTTTTTTCTACATTATTAAATTATTATGGTATAATATACATATTATACTAATATCACGTTTACCGTTTGCAAAAACTTTTTCAACATGTATTATTATATACCAGTGAGTTCTTTTTATATTTATTTAAATATAATCATGTATACTGAAAGTATAGGTGCTTTAAAGATGTCATATAATATTTACAATTTTAAAGATCTACACCTGCCTAATTTGAGAGTTTTTTTTAAGTACCTATATGTAAAACCTATGTAAACATGTCATTAAATAAATATTATATAGCAAGGGTCATCAATTAATATTTCTGAAGGGTCAAATTAAGAATCTGATTTTTTTTTTTAATATTTACTATTGTTTATAAACATTAAGAACATTATTAATATCACAAATATATGAAAAAAATTAAAATTAAAATAAATTATAAATACAATAAAAAAAAAAAATTGGTTAGTGATATTACAAATATTTGAAAAAAACTATTCTTCATCTGCGGGCTGGATAAAATTTGTTCGCGGACTTCTATTTGGTGACTTCTGCTATATAGTATACAATACATGTATAATTATTTTTTCAGTACTATATATACTTTTATGGGATAAAGGCAAATAAAAGGAATATTGATTAAAAATTCTCGTTTTAATATACATTTCACAGATAAAAAAATAATAATAACAATAATTAATTTACATATCTAGTATTTTTTTTTAGTTTCTCAATATTTAAAATTATAATGTCATAATAATGTTTACGTACTTTGATCGTCTCAGTCGATTTTTACTGTCATGTTTGTTTCAATATGTTATTCTATAGCAAAAAAAAAAAAAAAATATGTATAGAAAAGTCGGAAAAGCATTTCAAGTAGTGTATAGTTAGATTATAGGTAGTTGTTGAACTAGCACCAAATATCTATTCATGAACTTGACAATAGGTTTTACTGAAGTGAAACGCTTAATACCAGTGGCCGAAATATAGGTATATAATTCAACTGTTCACTTTCGGTTAGATCTGAATATCTTTTTTCCGACAACAATCGTCAACAACCAAATTCAATATTTTATTAAAACGATTAGAAAGCCATGGAGTAATATTTATATTTTATTGATGTTTTATTATCAATTTTTTATAAAAAAAAATGTTAATTAATTATTCACACTTAGAAAAAAAAATGAGCACATACTTATAGGATATTTTATCAGATAAGTTACAACTTGACAGAGAAAAAAATTGATTGTATTGTGTAACAAAACAAATACAAATGACTCGATAATTTGAAACTAATTTCAGGGAATCCATTATTTTAAATAGGTAGTAAATACACAATGATCAATTCAATACCTAGTCAAACAATTGTTTAGAAACAGATGCAGGTTCCCGTGGAAAATGACAGAATTAAGTTGAAAGCATGGTGAAATCGGCCTTGGTTTTCATTTTCAGTTGCACCAAATGTAAAACATTTAAATACTATTCATGATATATATTTAAAGTATATATATATTGTAATAAATTAATATATTCATCATTTTTTTTAAATGTATATATTATTATAAATATATATTTTTTTTAAGATTCGGTATAATTCAATTTTAAATACACACAAATATGTCACGGTTCCTTGAGTTCATTTTACTAAGTCAAGTGTACATATTGCAGTTTGTTATAATATATTATGATGTTCTAATATTTATTGAACGTGATTTTTATATTGTAGTGATTAAAGAACAATGTATTGTTAAATATTGGTATTAAAAGTGTATTATATTTTTCTCTTCGATCAATAATAATAATAACACGTTCCTACAATATTCGTTATATTTAATAATATATTATTTACTACATATAATAATTTAAGCATACATTATAATATTACAATATGAGTAGGCTCGTTTAAAGCGTACGACGACGTGACGTCCGAATCTTGTTGTACGTGACATGCCGAATTTGTATTAACCGTCAATCGCCGAATCTTATTTTATTATTGAAAAACTAAACACACGTTTTGTACACAACGCGATGTCTATGATATTATATAATATGTATTAAATGTGTTGTCTGTATGAATACTGTTGGTATTTGGTCTTATTTTTTAATATCCGATTAATCGGTATTTTTGCTTCAAGTAATATTTTACAACATTTCTATAATAATATAAATGTACAACATAATAACTCGTTCTCATTATAATATTGTTTTGTATTCACAATCTATAAAATAAGCACAATGACGTATTTTAGTGGAAGGTACATATAATATTTAATATAATACGTCGAATGTTCTATTGTGTTCCGTGCCATAAATTACTAGGCTATGGGGTGATGGAATTTCTATATAATTCTCTCACTACTAGAATAGGAAGAGTAAAAAAAATAAACCGAACATCATTGCGTGCATAGTACTACAGAAGAATGGATAACGTAAAGAGTGGACTTCAGTGTACGTACTATCTATGATTCATATTAAACAATATTTTTATAAAAATGTGTTAAATTGTAACGAATAAAAAAAAAAAAAAATAGAAACTCTTTGAATACGAGTCGATTTATATTATTATAATTGATGTATATATATATATATATATATATATATATATTATATAGGTACCTAGATACTTTTGAGATTTATTTAAAAAGAGATTAAATATAATTAGATCGAAATTTAAAAATGTTTAAACTCTTTTTATAATATTATAATGGTTTTCATCAATAATTTTTAATAATTTATTTACAAATAACTTTTTTTGGAACGTTTTGAGATGGAATTATCTAAATATATTACGAGAGCAAGAGTGACAAAACCAAATAGGAATTATAATTGACTTTCACGATATAATAATATACAGTCGAACTTGGTTAACTCGAAGTTGAAGGGACGGGAAAAAAGTTCGAGCTATCCAAGAATTCGAGTTACTCAAATTGAAAATGTTTAAAACAGTACAAAATATATTAATTTCTATATATTTATTACGAATGAAGTAATGTAATAAAAAATATTTAATGTGTATTTATATATGACTTATGTATAATATGTAATTTTAAATAGGTATGTATATATGTACAAATAAAAATGAGGTTAGACAATTATTTCAAAAAGTTATTTATTTTTGTTTGAGTTTTGCTGTTGGTCGTAGCGTTTGTAATAAATCGTTTTAAACCATTTATCAATAACGATAACATTAATGAGTAATGACCTTATTTTCGATATTAAAATATATACATAGATACACAAGGGAAATATCACAATTTATAATATTAATAAAATTCAAACTTCGAGTTATCCAGAAAAATATTTGAGTTATACAAGATTTTTTTACATTGTTTAAATAGAAAATTCTAAGGAACGGGGAAAAAGTTCAAGATATCGACAATTTCGAGTTAAAGAAATTCGAGATAACCAAGTTCGATTATACTTAAACGTTCTAACACAGTATAAAACCTCACTATTATAATCTAACGATTAAGATCGAATCGGATTTTGACAAGTCATGTTGTTTAGTACTAAATATTGGGTGTATATAATTAAATACGTTAAAAAAAAAAATGGAAAACGTAGTACAAAAAATATAAGCAAAGATAAACTATTTTCGTAATACTGTGTGTTTGTCAATAGACATTTTTAAATACAATATTATTATTAAGAAAAACCATAAATTTTCCTTTTTATCCGTCAATCATTCTTTTGATGCGTTAATACAATTGTCACTATAATAATAGATAGTTGTAATAAACTATGTAAATACGTTCACAAAGCAATAAATAATATAATAGTGCGTGTCTTATTGTTTCGAGAACTTATACAATTTAATTAATAATTATTACTACCTATATATTATATTTATGCCGAATTCACAAATAATACGAAACGATAGTACTTCACGCGATAGTTAGGTATTATAATAGACCGTAATTTTAGAAGGATCTGCAGAAAATGATAGGAGAGCTTAGAAAAAAAAAAAACAACAATGTATTATTATTGTCTTCGTCTCCGGAAATTAGCAAAATCTGTCAGTTTTCCCGGTGAATTAGAAACGCCTACAAACCGCAAATATATATATATATATATATATATAATATGCAGCTAGACGATAGTGTTGTTATTATTATTATTATTGTACGCGTTGTTGTTTACTTTTGTTTTCACACTTAATATTATATTCTAGTTTTCGTCTATTTACCGCGGACCAGGCTATTACAATATAATAAAAAGGATCCGCCGCCATCATTCGCGACGGTTTCTTCTGTGGCGAGTTGCGATTTCGATTGCCGCGTAGGACGCAGGAAAAACTGTCGGGGAAACTCCGTAACCCACATCGGCCGACATAATATGCTGAAGTCAAGTCCTATATGTGATAATGATAATTATAATAATAATAATAATAATATATTATAACTATATTTTCATATTTATATCGTCCACACGACTCTATGCGACAACTATTATTTATCTATTATTATTATTATTTTCGTTTCTGTTATTATCATCATCATCATATTGTCACCTATTCGGATCCGTCGTATTTAAACACCATTAATGGGTCACACGACGCCGCAAAGACGGACCATTGTGTTTTTCATTCATTCACATTATAGTACTAAATATAAATCCTATTTTCTGTGTGTATAGAAAATACAATAATATTATTATATAGTGTATACTTATGTGCACAAAACCCTTTGTAATGATAATTTCATCAGCTACTCGGTGTGGAAATTTTTCTTTATTTTCTTTTTGGATTTTTTTCATACAACACAAGTTTGCATCTGATCTTTGACCAGTCACGATGTCACTTCTCCGCCGCTCCATTCTGAACCTATACGTATATAATTGTAATAACGCATTACTTTTCGACTTTCTTTTTTTTTCATGTGGGAATCCTATGAATCCGTCGCCATTTTCTTAGTAACGTCCATCAGATGGCCAACCACTCTATTGCTGCATTCGTTCAAATAACAATTCACGATTTTTCTCTGGTCAAAATGACGGAAAATAAAATAAACTTATTACGTCCGAGAATGTCAAAAAAAAAAAAAAATTATGAAAAAAATTATGTAGACAAAATACAGGAATAACAATTTACAGAATAATTTGATTAAACAGGCGTGACAAATCTTCGGTCTAGGGCAAGGTTATCGAGTTGTTTCTTTGAAACATTTATATTTTAACAGGCCACCTTCTAGGTTGATAAAATTTCTCCAAATGAGAGTTGCGAATTGAGATTATCAACAACAGTACTACAACTCTAGTTGATAATATTATTAATACTCTGACTGGTTAGACGTTTTAAATCTAGATCAACATTATTAAAAAAAATATGACAATCCGGTCGATTGGTGTCATTGTCGGGCTCATATACTTGTCTCTAATATATTATCTCTCTGAGTCATATATTAATGTATATTAAAATCAGTCAAAAGCTGACCAAACTTTATTCATTTGTTGGTCTCTCATAACGAGTTGTATCAAAATAAAATAACAATACAATTACTCATAAACAGGGTTGTAAATTTAATTAATTATATATTGTTAGTAAATTTGCATGACTTGATAGTATATAATTAATTTGAGAAATACACTCTAAAAATAAAATAATTTTAAACTATAACAATAAATTCAAAAATCTATATTTATTTATTTTTAAATATTAATTTTTGGATATACATAGATAATTTTAAATTATCGAAGTTTAAATATTTTGTTGTATTTCTTACAAATGATTACATTTTTACAGGATTCAGTGTTCTGGGTGATCTGCTATCGGTGGTCAGGATCAAAAGGGACATGCGACCACCGCTGAACGAGACTGACTTGATGGCCAGATTAAACACTGTTGATGAACAAAGCGCTCTATCTGCGCTCATGGTGCACACCCTCGACCGTTTTATCGGGTCACACATACTCCGCGTAACTTTGCCATCTGGGATTACAGCAGCGCTTAAAGGAAACGCTCGATCCATCGCCGGCAACACTTTAGACATAAACTTGTCTAGGGCTATTGGAGAAGGTATGGGAACTAATTTAATATTAAAGAATAAAATAGGTCACTATATTAACTATTAAGTCTTTTTTTTCTGATCACGTCTGTTTTAATATCCCGAAGATATAATTGAAACGACTATAAGGAGCAATGTCGATACAATAAGTATAGGTATATTATTATACGATTGATACCTATGGTAGGAAAAAAATTAAAAATAATGCACAATATAAGCAGATAAAACTTGTTAAAATAAATTAATTTGTACCAAGTATTGAAAAAAATCAAAAACATTTAATAAAGTAACCGAATTGAACATGGACATGGCAAACAATGAGTATTTTTTTTTTTTTTTTAATTAAAAACAATTTTCATTTTCATTTTAATGATAAGTATAATATTATTTAACTTTTTTAACTAAATATAATATCACAAAAATATTTTATCTGAAACGATTTGTATTATTATTTTATTTGTTCTCACATAAACCACTAAGAGTTGCAATGTCACACTAAAATTTCACATCACTGTTCTTTCATAACGTGATGAAAATAACATTTCCCACACTGTTAAAATTGGAGCTTTAAAATTTAGTTTTTTGCAATGTCCGTTACATATAGTAACTAAACACATAACACATTATACCATATCATTATATATACGTGTATATTAAAAGTTTTGTTTTTTTCATCCAAAACTAATAACCGTCTATGACTGATATTTTGTTTAATTAATTTAACAAACATCTGTTTAATGTTTGGTCGGCGGTGAACCGTTTAACGTCTTAATTTATATGCGCGCTGAGAAAGTCATGTTTGTTAACATACGAACGATAATCGTGAACTGCGGCCGTACATAATTACTAATTACTACATTTCTATAAAGTTTTCAGTAGGTATATACGTCTAAACACCGTATTTTGTATTTTTATGTTGCTCTTTTCACTATTATTTATTTTATTATTCCTAGCTATAATACAATATGATGATATAATTATTTGACGCGATATGATCTGACCTGGATCCGACTTTTACAGGCCACCGATCACATAAATTACCATCAAAGTATATTATATTATATAGTTGTTTTGTACATAGTATGGCACGCACAACAGTCACTTGATTACCGCTTTTTAATCGTCACAGTTCTGTGTATCATATAAAACTCCATACATTTTGTCAATACACCCTGACGAATCGAGTCGTTAGATTGTTGATGAATCGATCGTCAATTATTTTTCCTTAATCAACGGCTTGCAAGTGGACAACTGTAGCGGCATCCAAATTATCGATACGCATCTCCCGGTCGGCTCCGGATGAAATGAAAAGAGTAAAACGGACATAATCCGCGACGGCGATCGTCGTGGACGATGGAAAAGTTACAAATAATAATAATAGTATGATATATTTTACACGTAATGTTGAATTTTCACTTTTAGGCGTCGCTGCGATTAGATTCGGAGTATTAAAGTTATTCGAAAACCCGTAGTATACGAAAATGATGACGGTGGAAAATTACTTATACTTTCCGTATAGCTTAATTAACGATATTATTAGGAAACTCTTCGATGACAATTTAAAACGTGTTACAAATTGTAACACATTATAATGTGAAAAACGTATACTTTTAAATATATACATAATTATTTTAATATTTAGGCACACATTATATTTTTAAACATCCGTTGTACTTTCAATAAAAAAAAAAAAATCTATGCCACAGTATGTGCTAATTGTAGTTCCTAAATAATATAGGAAATTGTTATTAAGATAAAACATATTTAATTTCATGCTTAATGTTCAATAATACATTATTATAAAATTCAATTTCGTAAAGAATTAAAAAATAACTATCATCATCGAATGCTTATTACTGATTAATTATTAATTATTATTAATAATATTATCATAACAATCAAGATTTGATTAATTTTCAAGAAATGTACCAAATTGTTGTAATTATTTAATCGAGTTTTTATCTTTTTTTTTTGTTTGGTAAGGGAGAGGAAAGAATAAAAAGTACAAGAAAATGATGCACATGATGATGATGGGGCTAATGGGTAAAATGGCGCTTATGGGTCCGCTCATGATGTTGATGATCAAAGTGAAGGCCATTAAAGCGCTGCTTTTGAGTAAACTCGCACTTCTGTTGAGTTTAGGACAGATGATGAAGGGCAAAAAAAGCGGTGCATCTGGTAAGTACATATCACACGTGGGTAGTAAAAACGACTATGCCGGTGACTGACTTACGTCAAATAACTTAGGCAAAGAAGTGATCATCGTACATGATAACCACGGGGGAGGCGGAGGCGCGGAATACGGTGCTGGAACTGCAGCCGGATGGGTGTCCGGTCACACAGCAACAGGTTGGTCGACGGGCGGAGGTGGTGATAGCTACTCGGCGGGATCACACATCGGCGGTGGTGACAACACGTATGCCGGCGGCCAAGACTCCTATTCATCAGGTATAAGCGAAAATAAACGATGATTTGCGTTTTACACGGACTCATCATAACCACGAACAGCAGTCCCGCTTAATATTATGATGGACATCGCTAGCTAAAACAGGGGTCTCGTTTGAGGTGTAGAAATATTTAATTTTATTTTAATTACTTCACTAGTTTTCGGGGTGAACATATATCGTAAACCATCGCTAACAGGAAGGACATTTCTATATTTTCGTTTAAGTTTTATTTTACTGCTGTTTTCTACAGTATGCAAATTATTAATGATTAATTAAAACATAACCTAAATGACTAAAAAGTTGTTACATTTTGAAAAACCCACACACTTCAACAATCTAACTAAAAATATCTGTAGGTGCATTCATATAATACTGTATTATTATAAATTTGTTGCAAATCGATATTTTTTACCTTTTTAATAATTTGATTTGATATTGGTAACATTTAAAAACGTTAAACGTTTAAAACCTAAATATTTTAATGAAAATTAAATTATGCAAGACATAATATATTAATATATAATGATTCTCTCGAAAATTCTTATTTCAATAACTATAGGTATGTTTATTTCAAACTACGTTAAACATTATTTTTGTCAATCTGGGGCAAAGACTAAAAGTGTAAAGAAATCGTATCGTATTTGGTGGATTTACATATAGCAATGTAACTTAGTAGCGGTCTATTTTAAATATTATTGTTGTACTGAACGTCGGATGAGACTTCGGTTTTCGTACACATGTATATTATACTCTGCTCCGTCATCGCGATCTCGATGTAAACCACCGTGACTGACGTAGCAATTTGCTAATTTATTATGACAAATTTATGATTTTTTTAATGACTTATTTACTTCTAGGCGCAGGAATGCCCAGTGGCTGGGCGGGCGTCAACGGACATGGCGGTAGCGGCTGGGCGAGAAAGTCCATGGTGCACGAACCACATTGGGTGGCTTACCGAGCTTATATTCCTACACCCGAAGACGACCATGCCAACGAAAAATGACTCGACAATCTAGACTAAAACATATGACCTAATGCATATTATATTATTGTAGCGTATAACGTACATCATATTATTATGTACGTGTTATTCGCGATTACGCAAAGTATAAACGACATTATACATAAGTTATTTATTTTATTATTTTTAATGGTCAATCTGTGCGTGTATGATATATGTAGTATGTACGATTTGGATGATACGGGAAACTTGCAAATACGAACCACGGGTGTTGGAAATTTAGTGAGCCGTGTAGTACTTCAACAAAAATATCCTTTTCGTCATGCCCCATATATTATTTTAATTTAATATTACGCACTTTTGTGACCACGTCGATTAGTATTTATTTTATATTTATTTGTAAATATTATTTTTTTATCTATATACTCTCAATATTTATTATTTATTGAAGTAAACCACATTTATAAATGTAAATTATCGAATATATCTAATATATACATAAATATCGAGAAAATTGCAAGCAAAATTTGTATTATTTTAAATCCATCAGCATTTGGTATCTATTATTAGAATATATACTCGAACCCAACATAACAATATTTTTATTTACCAATAATTTATACAAAATAAATACAAAAATACAAATTTTAACATTGAGAAAACTGCGTACTAATATAAAAAAATAGTTACAAAATTTATCGATAATTTTAATTTTAAATAATGATGACGACGAATGCAAAAGTTATACAACGGTTTAATTATAAATAAGGCGAAACGATTTTTTCTTATATAAAAGTCCTGGTATATCATAGATATTCTTCATATACATACAATATAGACAATGCTCAAAAAACGTCACCTGTACCGTGACATAATAATTACTATAAGAATTAACTTTATTAAGCGATACGTTTTTTACACGCATTCCGATCATCATTGATACGTCAAAATAACGGATTTAGCGGTATCGTCGATTTTCAGCGTGTATTTCACGAAAAATTCTTTTATTGATATTAAACATTCAACAACGCAGTAATTGTACATTACATATTGACTATTCTCGTCACACATCTCAAATAACAGCAATATCGTAATATGACTTAAGAAAATTCGCCTCTTCAAACAATATTAAATATCAATATATTAATATTAGCTTGTCTTATAAAAATCTTCATCATCTCTTATTAAAAAATATTTTGAATAATAATTGTGATATTATTCATATTATTCGCTTTAATTACAATGTTTTCAGAAAATATTGACTACTTTTTTTCATTACCAATGAAAATAATAAGGTTGTCTGGACCGTGGAATTCTAAAATAGATGCATTCGTCAAATGTTGTAAGAAATGTGGTACCGTATAATCATGCCTAACTGGTAAATTTTTAGTTAAAACAAAAAACAATAATTATTCTCATAACATTTTAAAAAAGAGAGAATATTATATATTACAGAAGGTTATGTTTAATTATAACGCATTTGATAGTGTATAACTATGACACAAGTTCGTGGTGTAATTTAAGTTGTTTTTTAAATGCGAGTTTTTAAGTAGTCTACTTTTAAATTTAATTAGGCTATAATTTCAAAGATTCAAAAAAATTATTGAAAACCAAAAAGCATATAAATAGTTGGCCAATAAAAATATAAAAACATGTATAGAAAAATAAAAATATTGATGAATCACTATACTAATATATATATATATATATATATCTGATTCATCTTATAAATTTGCATTGTTTTCATATTTATAATAATAATATTACTGTAATGTAAAATTAAACTACATTTTCCTATGATAAAATTCAATGGAGAATTATAAAGAACAATTTAAACAATAAAACTAAAATAAATAAATAAATAATAATAATAAGTGTAGAATGTAGATGTATTATAACATATTAACATATTAATATTTTCATTAATTTTAACTAATTAATTAACCATAATATAAAATAATTAGGTATTTTTATATATTATTTAGTTTACATTTATAATTTTGGCAGGCTAGCTGGGGCTATTTTAAATATAAGGATGCAACCGCATATTTCAGAATATTCTTTATTTGACCTTTATTGCAAAAAGATTTTCTCAGTATAATTTAAGTAATTTATGTGATAAATTCAAATACTTTAATATTGGTTTTTTATAAAATATTCAGTTATGTACAATGTTTAAACTATTCAATTATTGTTTGTTCAAATGTGTAGAAAATTTATGATCAATATTTTTATTTTTAAGATATAATATTATTCCAAATATATAACCATAATATTTTAAATAATGGCTATTTACAAATATTGCAAATTGTATTGAGTGGGTTCTAATTTTAGATTGGACTTGTAATGTCTCAACTCTCAATACGCTATTACATAATATAATGTTATAAATACTATAAATATCGTTTTAATATTATTATAACATTAAGTATTTTATACTTAATGCAATTTCAATATCGCTAATATAAACTTTATTATTTTTTTTTTTATTATTATAATAAACTGGTAAAATATAAAATATATTATTTAATAAATTAGTTATTTTTCCAACATTAACATTCGGTTAACCGATTCGAAAAATTAAAATTTAATTAAGTATTTTTGTAATTTAGTACACTCTTTTATTGTTAATATTAAAAAATTAAGTTTAAGATAATATGCAAATAATAAAAATGTACAATAATGAAATGACTACCCGACATCGTTGATAAATAAATGAAATAATAATGGGGACAAATGACCACCCTATAACACTCTAGAGGATATGATGATATGACGAATAAGATTTTTAATATTTTTTCTTATAAGGCTTTGTCAGATATATTTATGTTTTAAACCATGAAAAAATTGACCCACTGACCCTATTAACTCTAATTAATAAATCAAAATAATATTATCTATTATGTCAAAAACTTTTTTTAATATCTGTATAGATTAAATTGACTTGGACACTATTACTTACTGACTTAACTAGTTCAGTGAAAATTATATCATAATATAAAATGTATTATAATAAACACAATATTATTAAAATGATAACAATAAAATGTTCTTGTTGATATTATTATTTTATGTAGTAAGAATCATTACTTAAAAATGTTTAGAAAAGTTACTAAAATTAATGCATTTATTTTAATCAATACACGCTAGTATAAGTTTAGTGTAAAGAGTAATACGTATACCTACTACCTATATTAAATATATTATTATTTTTCTATTTGTTTAAATTTATTTTATTATGACTATTAATAATTTGAATTCAAATTTTTTAAACAATTTAAAATTTTATAATTTAGTTTATCTTATTTTTAAAATGTCGTTAAGAGAGTTAGAAATTATGACATAATAAATGTTAAATTTTTGGTAAAAATAATATGATGTCTTTCCAATATCATTATTATTGTTTATATCGTGTTAATATTATCTAAAATGAATCTGAAAAAAAATCAATTTGTGTGCGTGAGTTATAGAATTTAGTTAATTTGGCCTTATTTTTTTATTACCTCACTATTCTATAGAAAACAATTTTTATACGTGAGTTTTGTATTTTTCTTACTTATCTTAAATTGTGTATGAAAATTATGATAGTTATTAAGAAATGAGACATGTTTTCGTTTTATAAAATAAATTGCATTGATTATTTTCTTTAACCGACGTACTCTCCAATTAAAAATAAATGTTGGAAAAAAATGAGTGTTAGTATTATTTACTTGGTTATAATTGTATTACTTTTCAAACTGAATAATTTTAGATATCAGGCTTACCAATATAAAAGAACAAATTAAATAGATAATTTTGGCTGAATATTTAAATCTGCATATTTCTCAATATCAATCAAACATTTTTAATTATTTTTCCAAAATATGTTGCCTTTCGTTGTTTGTTAAAACAGTTTAAAGTATAAAATACTCGTATTCTTATTCTATGTGAGGTATAATTAAGTTAATAGTTTAATATCTGCAAGTTAACAGTATTACGATAGAAATAATGTCATATATTATTATAATATGAATTGCGCACGAATATGCACATATGAATAGAAATAAACCGAAATGTAATAAACTTATAATGAATGAGTCTTAGCTCTTAGGTTAATAAAAAAAAAAAAATAATAATAAATAAAAAAAAATTTAATTCACGGCGATTTTCATTGTTTTATTGTAGTTTTGTTTTTATAATAAATCCGATGAAAAAACCTTCAGATACGGTTGTTTGGTAATAGAATATGAAATAACTTCTCATATTTTACTTTAGTTCAATTCTGTATATTATTATGTCGATAGGTAAAATTCGTCTTAACACAGTCACGTGAGAATATTATTTATCAAACTTTGTTATCGTCGAACATACAACTCGAACATAACGTTATTTTTATATTGTACCTTGGGTTATATAATTTAACTACTTACATTACTATGTTGAAAAAGAATAAACATGTGTGTTAAAACTCTTACCACTTTTTCCTAGGGTTGTGCGCTTCGATGTCAACTGTTTTTTTTTTTTTTGAAACGCTTCAAGCGCAGGATTATATTGTTATTAAAACACTATTGTCATAGTCGCGACTGGCTCACTCGCGAATTCACTTCACGCGGAGCACGTCGGCTATACAACACGGTCAGTCCTGTGTACTGCGCCGAAATATCGAAGGTAGTATTATTAAACCTAATACCTAACAGTAATTTTTGTGCACAATACAACAATCTGTGACTTGTGGAATTTTTATATTATTAAATTAATTTTACTTTTTCATCGTTGTATTAATGATAATAATAAAAATAGTTGTGGTAAATTGTATTTATTTATTTTACTTTCGTCAACACTTCATAATGTTGTCCAGTACAAGTAACGCCGGGTGTGCAAAATATCTAAGTATATTATAATTATATTAACTATAGCAAAGTAATCAATAATATTATATTGATATTATTCTTGTCGATTATTTCTATTGTTTATTATTATTGTTATCATAGTAAAACGACACGAAAAAAAGTTAAAATTGCTTATTATTATTTAACATTTAAAACGGCGTTATAATACAATTTATAGACTCATGTGGAATATTAGCTGCCGGGTGTCCCGTCATTTCGATGTGTATTTGACATAAGAACTGATAAAAAGAAAATTGATTTGACATTGTACCTGCTCAGTTATGTATTATTTAAAAAAATATAGAATAGTGTTAATTTTATTTTCACGAATAATGCTGGATTTTTTGGTGAGTTAAAACAATTTTTTTTTTTACTTACAAAATTGTTTGTCTATTATTCGTTTGTAATGACCTCGGTTTTCAATAAATACAATTTTAATCCATCGCAATTTAATGTGTTTCATAGTTTAAAGATTTTTCATCAAATTTATGAAATAATCAACACGCAATAATATCTGTGTTGAAATTTCTTTGCCGTAATCCAATCATCTAAACATTAATCATTGGTGAATAATTAAAATAAATTCGAAGTTTGTATATAATATAAAATGTAGCTATGTTTACTATATTTCATATTACAATTCAGAGTAATGATTAATAACCTTAAATTAAAATCAAAATCACTAACAATTAATATTTTTAATATTTAGTTTTTTGTTATTCGTACACGCTAATATTGTCGATGATATTCGTAAATAATTTATCGATGTATTCACATTTTCAGCCATGTTGACAACGAAAAAAATCAGATGTGCATAAAACACCCATATCCAATTCACAATGAACATTCGTGGGGTGGCTGGTGGGGGTGGCAGAGGCGAAGGTTCCGGTTCACCTTCCGATGCTGGATACTCAGCTGCCCTAGTATGCGTTGGCCGGAAAATATTGGCGATGGATGCGCTACAGTTACGGCCGATCAGAACCACAGGGCCGTCACCAGTCGCGCACAATGGCCGCTATTGGACGCCAAATAAACGCAGGGACAACGCGGAAACGGTTAGATACATCCGATGTCTGGTGCAGACCTGTGAGGCTATCAAACCGTGGATTGCAACTGATAACCAAACATCGTCGCCACCCCAGACCCGGACCAAGGTGACGATGGACCAGTTGCCGAGAATAATGCAAAAGGTAACTAAATGGTTAAGTTAGGTGTTTACAGACACTTATCAATTAGGTAGGTAAGTACTAAGTGGGTAAGTAGTATATAAAAAGTTATTAATGTTGTTATATGTGAAATCAGACAAGCTTAATGAGACTAGCAATTTCTTTCTTTCTGATGTGATGATTACATTTAAAGTTACAATATGCTATGTATCAGACTATTATTAAGTATGGTACAGACAATATTATGATTAGTAAAAATGTTATCGTTTATTCAAGAATATTAAAAAAAAAAAAAACATGTCAAGTATATTATATCAGAACATAAAAATACAACTCAGTGAAAAATTTTAATATACAAAATAATTTCAATTTTTCATACTACCCTGGTTAAAAATACAATTTTCATAAACTATGAACGTCCAATTTAACAAAGTAATAACTTTTAATGTATGATGGCTATAGTGAAATGAAAATAAAACTTTATTTTAACACACCTATGTAACTGTTTATATGAGTATATTATTTTAAACATTCTCATAATTTCAGGTTACATAACTAATTAAAAAAATAAGTGCTTCAGCATCATCAGTTTTTTAAATTAAAATTGTGCACCAAATAATAGTTATATTTAGCTAAATAGTATCAATGTATGTATTACTATATTAATATTATTTATATTTAACACTAAAGAATATATTTTTTTATAAGTCAAGACCTATATGCTACGTTACTCATACATCAACACTCAAAATTAATAAATCTATTAAAAGCTATTGATAATGCGAAAGAACAATATTGTATTTGTTATAATGTAATCGATTATTTATACAGGCTTGAATATAGTATAGATCGTTTAGGTAGATTTATTCATAAACCTAGATTCGTATACGGTTGGTAATTTATTTGAATATTCTTTTTCTTTACCCAGGAAACAAAAATAATAGCCACTGGTTTAACGACTCACGAAATCGTTTCAAAAAGTTTGTCTAAAATCTATACTTTAGTCATGCAATGGTAAAAATAAGAAGCGTTTTTATTTACATTGCTTTTGCATGTCGATCATATAAGTAAATTAAAACGTTTCAATGTCATGTAAAAAATATGATATATATTAAACAAACATGCATCACAATATTATACAGAATTTCTCATTAGCTTTTTGCGTATAATTATTTTTTTTATTTGCTTCTACGTGATTGATTTCCAATGAATGTTCAAAAGTAGATGAATAATACTATTTTATAGAAATCGTTCAAATAAACAGATTGAGCATTTTATTTATTATATCTGAGTAATACCGTGATAATTATATAGAATATAATTCTATATAGTTCATTGTTCCTAAACAACACTTAATACTTAATGTATATTGTTTGAGCTTGAAATGTTGTAATAATTGAAAAATAAAACTATAAAAATGTTTAGGTACATATGAAATAATATTAAAGAAACACAAAAGAAATGTTCTCAAGAATATCGTACACGTAAATCGTAAATATAAAATATGAACGAATTTATTTAATTTGGAAATGGTTTTATAACACGTTGAGAAATAATAAAAACGCCGTAGGTAGGATGGTAGGTAGATGGATACATGTCATTAAAATTAACGAGAAACAAAAAAAAAAAAAAAAAATACACACTAAAATGAAATGTCGAGAGTATAATAAATATTTCAAAACAAAACATTTTTTTTTTTATATATTTCCGTGTAAAAAAAAAAATAATAATAATAATAATAACTATCCTATTTAAACAATGCACTAATAATAATAATACGCATTGTATTACAAAGTAGTTTTAGATAAGAAAGAAAAAACAAAAAATTAACACGTCGACTATGATAATGTAATGACCCACGCGCGTGAGTTCGTGTAAATCGTCATGCACTGCGTCGGGATCGCGTGCGCGAATTGATAGATATAGTATAATAGGTACGTGTAGTTATATATTATATTATGTATATTTTATTTGTTGTTATTATACCTAACTTTTTCGTTTGCTGCAAAATAAGTGCGAAAAATTCAAAGTCTCACAACATAGAGGAGCTATCTAGGTATTCGTATAGTAGTTGGAACATACGTATTTTTATTGGCGGACACTTTAGTGGATCTTTTTAAGTACGCATAAATAAATGCTATAATTGTCATTTTTGTGTAATTAAAGTTATTAATTATTATCTAACAGATAATTTTGCAAACTACATAATGTTGGACGAAAAACGTAAACTAAAAATTATTTAAACCCTACGCTACGTTTTTAATGATTTCTTTATTGAAATGTATAAAAAAAAATTGTTTTCAAGAATAATAATCACTTTACTGACAAAGAAAGGTTTTCAAAGCAAAAACCTTATAATAATTTTTGTAGAATACTAGAATATAAATTCTGATTTTATACGAGTATCTCCACTTATACACTATAATAATATATCTAAGTAAGACTACACTATTATTATTTAAACGTTTTGACGTTGATTGCATAAGGAGTATCTACAGTTACCACATATTTTTTTAATACCCAAAGTTATTCACCGCTCTTTATCGATCGTTGTTTATTGTGGTCCCAGAAGCATTATGTTTACATTTAAAACTACAGAGAAACGTGTTTTTTAATCACATTTTTTGACGATAAAATAATTTATGCACATCAATGGATTATTAAATTTCATCTTTAAATCGATTATATATTTATCGCTGGGTGTTGACAGTATTTCGAATACCCAGCAAATTACGAATGCTTTCCGTTTTATACTAACCCTCTGAGAGCTGCATAAGTACACCATACTATTATTGTATTCTACTGTGCCAAAGACGATTTAAGTTTATTCGTTTTTAGCATGACGCCCTGAATACTCGTCGAACCCCGACGGTGAATGATTGGTCGAAATAGCGTGCAGTTATTTTATCGGCTTGACGTTCGTTCTTATCTGTTTTTCCATATAATCTCCTTACTTTTAATATTATTATTCAGCTGTTACAAGGTACAGTGGATTGGATAGCGTGGCGGCGCCACACCGTCCCCATAAATCACGTGTGGTGCAAGGTCCTCGGCGATTAAAACATCCTACCCATACATGTTTATATATATATATATTCAGAATATTATTATCATCATATTAAATAATTATTATTATTATTGTAATATATTATACACTGACCTTAAGGGTACTATAATGTTCATGACCAAAAGCAATCACGGTAAAAAAACGCAGAGACCTCTATTTATAAAATATAAATTAACGTGTAAGATATATACCTAACCGCAAATACGTCACCGTCAACCCTCTACTTGCTTGTATTTGTAATATAAAATATTATGATTGTTTTCATTTTACGCAGGTACTCGAAAACAAGATTCGGAGTAACAGAGACCACAAGTTTGTCAACTACTGGACACCTAGTGAGTTCGTGAAAAATTGTTTGTTTTGGCACAATTTCTACAGACACTTTCATAGATCGACTGAATTGGTCTTAAGTCCACACGTGAGTCGTTATCTTAGAAGTAGGGACATGTTAACTTATTACCAAAAATTAAACATTGAATATTTAATAAATAATAGTTAATGTATCTTGTTTTTGTTAAAATACTTAAATTTGGTCTTATAACATGATCAATAAGATTTGTAACAGTAAAAAATGTATTTTTTAATTTAGTTATAATAAAAAATTAGTTAATTAGTAATAAAAAATATACAAACAAATAAAATAACATGATTTATCGATATAATTAAATTAAATATATTTTAAAATGTAATGTATTTTTAATTTATACAACGTTTAAAATAATTTGATATTATTAATTGAGTCGAAAAGAAAAAAAATAATTCATTGTACACTTTAATCCTACAGTAATATTATTATAAGTATCAAAACAGTTTCATGGTTCATGGTACCTACATAAAAAAAATAAAAAATAAATTTGTTTTTGATCGATTATTTTCCATTTCATATGATATTAACTAATAGTTTATTTGATTATATTAATTTTACTCAACAGGCATGTTTGTTTTTTTTTTTTTTTTGTACAATATAATAAATATATAGTAATTTGCCTCAAAATTCAAATTTTAATTTTTTATGTTTAATCATGACTGAATATCATTAAAATAATATGAAAATTAACATATATTATAATACAAGAACACGAAAATAAAATATTAAGTACTTAATCAAATTAAATATAATATGTATCATTATTCTCTCTAAAATTAAGTTCATGTAATTTATAAAATAAATATTTAAATTGTTATCCATCTTAGCTACACTCGTTCAATTATAGTCGAGAATTTTACTTATAACTGTTATTATAATATTTTAATGTAAACGTGGTTCGAATTGCTATCTTGTTTCGTGGAAATCCGTTTTGTTTTAATTTAATTTAGTTAAAAGCGATTTATTTCCACACGCACCATGGTTTCCATGAGGACACGCCCAGCAAAGGTAAATCGAAATTTAAAACAGTGACTTCACAACTGTTCAAAATCCAATTAGTAAAATTTAGACGTTAAGTAATTATAATAATAATATTATAGAAACAATTATTACGGATATTCATTAAACACCTTGCAGGAAGACTATTGTTAGAAATTAGGAACGTTATATGGTTACTGTTATGGAACATTTATGTAGTTAAAAACAATAATATTATTTTTATTTTTTTTCTATAAACAATAGATATAATTTAGAATTATAGAGCCGTTACTGCCGTACGTGTTTCAAAAGAATTTGATTAAATGATAGATGCATAAATGTTTTAGGGCTATATCATTATATCTAAGAATATAGTCTATACATTTTTAACAAAGTTCATAGTTATTATTTTGTAATAACTACAAAACACTAAATATTTATATTGTGCTTAATGTAGTATCGATTAATTATATCTATTCAAGTTAACGATTCGATTTTTATAGTTATGCGAAGAAGCACAAAACTGGGCCAATCATTTAGCTCACACGGAGACGTTTGCTTATCAGAATAAAATAAATTATGGACAGAATCTGTTCTGCCGAAAATTGACGAAAACTGAAGTCGAAGGTAAATATTTTCGTTGCAACACATTAAGTTATAGCCAAGGTAAAATAAATATTTTGTTTTTAACTATATTTTTTTATTTGAGCTGCAGGAAAGGATGTGGTCCGTGAATGGTATTCGTCTTCAAGAGTTTACAAGCCGAGAAAAAATCCAAAAATGTACTCGGCCAACATAAATTCAGGTAAATCTGCGGTATCTATTTTTCCCAAACACAAATATATTAAAAGTTTTAAATGGTAAAAAAATATACCAATATTAATTAAAACAATATATATAGGTCCTTTCACGCAACTTGTATGGTCAAACACGAAAGAGTTGGGTATCGGAAAAGCGTGCAGTCGGTCTGGTCGGATAATCGTTGTGGCAAATTACTACCCGAAAGGAAACGTGAATGGACAGTACGCCAACAACGTGCACATGAACCAATACTTTTTGCCCGCCAACAAGAAGAAATTAGAATTCATAACCAGACACGAAGAATAGATAGCTCAAATACTGTTTAAAAGTCGTAAAAGAAAAAAAAAAGTGAACATCAATGACTGTGTTTGAATATTGCCATAGTGTAATTATGGTTTCGTGAGTTTTCACAGTAAATTATCACCATCATTTTTTTTTATTATTATTATTTATGTATATGTACGTTCAATCTATCGCAGGACCTGACACGGTATTACTTCATAATCGATTTCATACATTAATACGAGTATATTAATATAATTATATGATACACACGACTGATCGATACGTATTGGATTTTGTACTATTTATGTTATATACAATATAAATATAAACGACTGTTTTATTCTTAAGTCTTAAATATTACTGTATTATTGTATGGAACATAGTAACTATCTTAGTAACTCATTTAAAAAAATATAATATATTAGGCATCGATCGTATAATAATGTATTATAACCGTTTTTGAAAAATCAGTTATATGCACGTTAAAAATACGTTTTGTTTGTGGTTGTTCTAAACTTAGACACCACATTTTTATGGAACGTATAAATGTAATTATTGCATTTATGCTCTGGTATAAATGTCAATACACTTTCGAAATAAGAATTTCTGATCGTCCATGTATTATGTTGCACTCTAACCATATGTTTATATTAAAAATTGATTTTAACACAATATAATATGATTATTATGTATTAAATTTTTACTAATAAAATGTGATATACAATTAATGAAACTGTGTTTATAAAATATTACATATTTTTTTTTTTTTTTTTTTTTTTAACAAGATGTGTGCTATCTGATGTACACTATAAATTTTTTTTAGTATCGTACAGCAGGTTTCACTCCTAGTATTCAATGGTAATATGAGAATTAGTTTTTGTTATAAATACAGTTTAATGTAAGAAATACACACGAATAAAATATGTATTTAATATTACACTGTTTTATTGATTAAATATGGTGTTATCAATTGGGTTAGATGGGAATGATGAATACTCCCAATAATAATTATCAATGTTGTAAGGATCATAATAATATGTGTTTTTACATTGTACATGAACTGTATCGTACTACATTTCACTAAAATCTAGTTCTCGGTAACTGATCTATTATTTTATAAAATTGTTATGAAAAATAAACGATAAAATTTACAACATGGCGCATTATATAGGCAATATAGTTACATAACATAGTATTAATGGACAATATTTTGGATTTTAAACGGAGCGGCGATTGTGTTGATTTAAGATTTTATCATTTTTTACCTACAATACATCTATGTACAGTGTAGGTACAAAATAAATACTAAAATACTTCAATTTTTACTATAAGGTTAGTTTTCGATATTAAATTAGATTTAGTTTGTATTTTAAAGAGGTTTAAATTAAAATTTCCCAGTATTATTCAAAATATTAAACAAATCAAAAAAAAAAAAAAAAAAATAGAACAAACAGGAACTTTAACACAAAACTGATTTTTGAAAAAAATCAATCTTGTTTTTTAGTGTATCTTAAGACATAATTTTAAAATCAACTAGGTATTCATAATTTCCCCCAGAAGTTTACGTTATCGTTTCCTACACATAGTATAGTTAATAATATATTTGGACTCTTTGAGCTATTTATAAACCTTTTTTTTTTAATATTCAACTTGATAAACTATATAATTCATTTTCTTTTTACTGTGTATTATTTTGTTTCTGTTTTTATTAATTTCATATTTTTTTCTGAAATTTATAATGTTGTTATAAGTTTGGTAACAATTAAACAATGAAAACAAATTCAAAAGTGTTATCCATATTAATATAATAAATACAAAACCAGAGACGATCTCACTAGAATTCTAGGTGATTTATGGTAAACTGACTAATTTACATTAACTTGAGAGACTGTCTAGTTTATTATAGATATTTGTATGAAACATAAATTTGATATTCATTTTAACAATTTTAATTTTATCCATACAATTACTTATTATTTGAATGACAGTTTTTGATAAAAGATAATTGATTTACCTTTTTTAGCGTGCATTTTCTATTATTTTTTTAAATGTTATAATACAAAACATAGAAATAATTATTGTTGCATTACACAAAGCGTTTTAAAAAAACTTAATCTAATTATTAAGAACATTTTAAAATAATAACAGTTATTATTGTTATTAGTTATTGATAATAGATTAATAATTATGCTTATAATTTCATATTTTGAACTTAATTTAGTTGTTCTTCTTAAAATAAAACACTTAGGTTATATGTAAATTATACAAAAAATATTACATTTTTAATTTGTACACTTTTAAATCACATTTTTTAATCAATACAAATAATTATTTTATTATAATCAATTAATGAATTATTCAATAAAAAATGGTCTTGTTTATTACAACGTTTAATAAACTTAAATCAATATTACATTTTTAATTATTTGATATACATTTAAAACGGCAAAAAAAACTTGTTGCTTTTTGTTCGAGTGTAATATACGTCTTGTTATGTTTCAGAAACAATTTTTCATTGATGCTGGTATTAATACTGCACACAGACATTTTTTGAAATGACTTACAGAAACATTTCTAAATAATAAAATGCAGGGCAATATTGATAAAAAATACGTTTTTGAGTGTAGATGTGATTAATTTTTTAGCAAGCTTAATCAAATTAAACACAAATCAAAAACTCTTCATTCAATAAAATTAATCGGGTTAAAGAATGGACAATTAGCAGAATTATTTTAATCGTGGATTATAGTCGATTGTTATAAATATTATAAACAATAATAAATACATTTTTGAAAAATTTATAAAGCCTGTTTAAAGTGTAATATTTAATTTATTTCGTATAAATTTAAAAAAAAAATCACACAAAATCTGCATAAAAACGTATAAAATAAAAAAAAAATTAACAATTGTTTTGTTTCTTCGACACATTGGTGTGTACGTAGATAAACATATTATATTAACTTAAAGCAGCATAATATCATGCGATATAAAATTGATAATATAAAATATATAAAATAATCAAACGATTAATAAATAATAAAAATAATAGCGATGATGATGATAATAATAATAACGTAAACACGAGATATAGGTACGTTAATATAAATAAATTAAAAATCGCCACCGACGAATGGAATAAAACGATAACAAATGCACACACACACACACACACAAACGAGTTAAACGCGATTCGGCTGGCGGGCACAAAAAAGCGATCAGCGACGGCGGCGGCGTCGGCGGCGGTCGATGATGGGTATGTAAATGGGCGTCTTGTCGGAAGTGTGGATCCGGTACACGATGTGGTCGGCGTCCTCGGCCGACGACAGGGCCGGCACGTGTTGCAGTCCCACGACGCCGCCGCCCCCGCCACCCGCGGCTCCACTACCGATGGACCGCCTGTAAGCCGGGTTGTTCTGAGTGCCGGCGGCGTGCGTGTCGTCGGCCGTCGAGTGCGAGTGCGAGTACACCGGTTTGGTGACGATCTCGTACGTGGTGCTCTTGGGCTCGGAGTGGCCACCGCGGAACGACGCGAGCCCGGACAAGAGCAGCGACATCAGCGCTGTCATCAGCGCCTTGCCCGCGAGCACGGCGATCGCCTTCATGCCGAGCGCCAGCAGCATGGCCCCGGTCACCCATCCGGCCAGCAGGATGGACTGCGCGTACTTTTGCTTCTTGCCCCTGCCTGCGGACAACGGGATATTATTTATTGTTATTATTGTTGTTGTTGTTGTTGTTGTTGTTGTTATAATTTTTGTGTTGTTATTGTCGCGTCACAATTTGGGCGGTGTGTGTGGGTTTTCGGGGCGAACATGACCTAACCTAACCTAACCATGATCGGGTCATCACCGATCGCGTGTATAATATTTTATCGTATTTGTTTCATCAATAATAATTATCGATCTGATGTGCAGCAATCGAGTGTCTGGTGCCCCTCGAGTTTCAAAAAAGGAAATAAATGCGTTTAACTTATGCGTTCTTAGAGTGACGCACACCTCGAGTATAACTTATAAACACTCGAGAACATGTCAGCACACTGTTTTCTCTCTCTGACCCAGCCGTAACAAAATGCATTTACGTAGAATTATTGTTTTTGATATTTTTAAGTTAATCATAGTGTAAAAACAATAGACAAAAATTATAGAGGATAATATTTTTAAGAGTTTAACATATTGGTTTTGTATTTTATTATTATTTGACCGAATATTCAACTTCAAATATAAAATAAATAAATAAAAAAGTAAAAAATATAATTATAAATTTAAATTATGTTAAAAATTGTTTTGAGATAATATTTAGACAAATTGATATGTCATATTATATACCTTCAAAAATATTATCTTCTATAATTTTCTTGATGAGTGATTTTAGAGTAAAATCACTCAAAAACATAAAAAAAAAAGATTCTGTTTAAATACGTTTTGTCTATGTTAAGCATCAGCCAGAGAGAGAAAATAAACAGTGTGCTGACATCCTCTTAAACGGGTAAGAAAAAACTTCGAACTATTATTATTATTGTTTAATTTTAATTTCAATTTTAATTCTTACGGAAAACAATATTTTTTATTTCCTAATCTGATGCGAATAACTCGGATACAATAATATTTAATTGAGTGGTTGTCAAAATGAAGATGAATCGGTTCTAAATACAATGTAATTTTTTTAATAAAAAAAAATGTAGACGTGATGGTTAAATTATTAAACAAAAAAAAAAGTCAGATCGATCCGTTAAAATAAATAACAATTAATATGATTCTATTCTGATTTCCTGGAAAATAAGTGTACAAAAATAGTTTTCTTCCAGAAATGTATTTTTGAATTCAATTCCTCTTATAATATTTACACTTTTTTAATTGCCATAAATATATTTTGACAAATATAATATTGATACGATGTTTTTATTTATGAACGCACAGACACACTTAATAGAAATAATATATGACACCTATATCAGATTTACAATGATTTTTACAAACTTTACACGTTCGATCAAACTTGATGTCATACGAAGATTTGATTTCTAAAATGGTTTACGATCTCGTTTATATAATTACTTAGTTCGATAATGATATCATAATTAACATGTTAACGGACAGTCAGAAATACTATTTTGTTCTACAGGCATGCTTTAAAATGTCACTTTTTCATTACTGCTATATCAATATTGCCATAACACGCCTAAATTTTGATGTAAATAATATGTTTAAATCATTAAATTTTTCTACAGCAGTATAATAATTTTTATTAATTTTCTTCGATTTTTGCCTTTTATTTTTATTGAAACATGTCAAAATAAATTTTTAATTTAATTACATTAGTACTTTTGTTGATATTATGATAAATAATAAAATAATACATTAATCTTGGCAAAATAACAAATAATTAAATTGGTTTAAATAGATTTTCTTCACAATCAGTCATTTTAACTTTAATATAGTACACAAATAATATAATAAACATGAAGCAGTAACTAAATTATAATAACTATTACGTCCAACAAGCCGAATATAACTGGTAAATACTAAATATTGCTACGCGTCCATAAAGCAAAACGTTGTTGTTGATATTCGATAAATATTATTGGAATTACCTATGTGAGTTTATAAATAAAATTGAAATAATTATCTATAAAAATTCGCTGAAATTCGACAGCGCTCAAATGTGCAATATGCTTAATGTGGGCAACACAACTTCATCTTTCATAAAAAACCATTGGAATTATCACTGCTATCGCAGTAATGCCACTTTTATGAAAGTTTTTAGAGTACTGCTTTAGCTGTAATATTTTAACCTGCCATTATAGACACAGCAGTAAAATTGATCGAGTGTCCGTCAACGTGTTAATGGAACTACATTATTATTATATGACCTACTGAGAACGCAAGCTCTAATTTTTTTCGGTCAACCGACATAATTTTATGTTGAAAATATTAGCGACTGTGTTGCATAAACGAATAACAGGTGAATTTAATGAATAAAGAAGTTGATGGATGGAAATTGAGTGGTTTTAATAATCATAGTTTCAAATAATTATATTTAAAAATTTGATATGATATTATTTTAAAGGGCTTTACGAAGATTGCAAAAATCATGTAATCTTCCATAAATTACACGTTATAAAAAATAAAAATAATAAAGGTATAACTTTAAAAATTAAATGTTTAAATATGTATTAAATCTCCCAATCTGTTGTACAAGCAAAATCGTGATTTTGTAGGATTGTTATCAAATTTACTACATATTATTATAATGCGTCTCGTGCGATTGTGTTCGTAAATAGTGAGCGTTGGTCATAAATCATAATACAATTAATCCACGTTTAAATTAATAGTGATTATACCTATTATAGGTATTTCGTTGAAATGCAATGCATGCGTAAAAACTTGTGTTTATTTACATTGCATTACATTTTTACTTGAACTTATTTCATTTATTTTATTTTATAAAAATTAATAATTTTTAAACAATAATTTTTACTTTTTTAAATGAGGAAAATAATCAAAATTTTTAGATTTTATTGTTTCTAATTATTTTAAATTAACCCTTTCATTCTCAAATTATGTTATGATGAAAAATAAATATTTGTTACGTAATTATTATTTATATACGTGACCAAACTAAGAATTATTTTGAGTTTGAGAATTTTTTGATTACTAAATCCAATTGGGCTACAACGGATATAGATATAAAACAATAAATCAAGTACTTTTAGTTTTTTTTTTTTTGTTTTTTAATTAATCTTAAATATTTTACAATTAAAAAAAAAAAATGTTTTACAAACAAAATAAACATTATTACAAAAAGGAAGGCTAAAGAACAAATCAACAAAGCAGTGTTTACATTTATTGTAAAAAATGTATGATGATTTTGATATCCAATTGCCATTTCAATGGCATAATGTTTACGGCACAATAAGATGATGAAGATAAGTGGTAAATACAAAATCATTTCATAATATGTTAATAATAACAATTTAGCTTCAATAAAATAAGAAATGGGATTTTTAGTGTTTGTATTATTTTGGAATTATAAGAAAAGATGATATGAAAAAAAAAAAATACTTACAATTTTGTAATCAATTAACTTATACTTTTGTTTTATTTGGGTCCATATTAATCTCTTATTATTTTTGACGTACTCTACACATGTGTTTACGTATAAATCAATGATTACATAGCAAAAATAATTTTAATTGAATTTGATAACGACATTTCTTTGATTATGCCATTTAAATAGTACAAGGGACTGAAAGGGTTAAGTTATTCATTTTAGGTTTTTAAACAAAGGTTTAAAATACCTTATAAAGTTTTAAGTTACTTAATTTTAAATCTAAAACCTTTTATTTCCCTAATTTGTCCGTCCATTGGTTATCAATTTAGATTATTACGATTATTTATATTAAATTAATTATTTTTAAATTGCAAATTAATTTATAATTAGTTAGATAATTGTATTAAAATATGTTTAAAAAATGGGAATCTAATATGTTTAAAAAGTGACCTTAATAATTGGATTTATTTTTACATTTTAGTTTGAATACTGAAAAATAAAATCATAAAAGTAAAAAATAACACACAGTTATTTTCTCCTAATATTTTTAATATAATAAATTAAAGGTAATTTTTAATAGAAATATTTAATAAACTATGATAAATTAAGCAGCCCATAACATTAATGGTGTACAATTCAGACGACTACAGAAGACAAATCACTGAATAGGAGATACAATTCGAATCAAGATATTGATACTAATTTATAAAAAGTTTACCGAAATATTCTTAAGTTTTCTAAATTTTAATATTAGTCATGAATTACGTAGTAAATTGCATCGGTGTGATTGCACTTTTTTTATTTTTAATACCTATTTAAAAATATTTATCACCTCGTATACAATTTCTAAAATTAGCAATAAAATATACGCAGTAAATAAAAGTTTTTTTCCAATTTTCAGACAAAAAATTCGTATAGAAAAAAATGCAATTTTTATTTTTATTTTTTTAATTTGATTACCGTCAACACAAAAAAACAAGTTTCATACCTGATTGAATGGTCGCATCGGCTGCAGCTTCTCCCAACTTCCGGACCGACTGAACGGTTGCGTCGTCTAACAGTTTGACGTTAAGCGTAAGGGTACCGAAGTATCGACCCAACTTGTCGACAAGTAACCGGTCAAATGCCTCAGAGGAGTCACGGTCTGTGATTTTTTGTGCGGCTACGTCTCCACCGTCGTTGTCGTTGTTATCTGCCCGATCGTGGAACTTTTCGCTGGACACCGTCACGCCGGGCACCAGCGAGTAGCTGTCGTTGGCTCGCTCCAGACGGTCCACCAGATGCACCAGTGCCAGCTTTGCACACGTCACGTAGTTCTTGGACACGCATCTCTTCCACATGGCCTAAATTTAACAGTCGTTGTGAAAACGCAATATTAACAATAACAATAATGTATTAATGTTACAATGATAAAAAAAAAAATATAACAAGAGACGACGTAGGTCGATTAATAAGTTGATAAATTAAATATTGGATGTACTAACATAATATAGCGCTAAAGGGGCGGCCTGCAGCTGTGTTTAGGCCTATAAAATCAAACAATAATAGATCCAATTTTTTTGTTCTCATCAGTTGAATGAAATATCGACTTTTCCCGACCGTCCAGAATATCAGTAGTGTGTATCATCTATTAACTGTGTACTAAATTATTATTTAAACACCAAAATAAATATAATATTATGGTGCAAAAATATTTTGGATGTGTAAACGATTTTGTACGATATTTCTTCTCGGCTGAATTTTAATGTAAAAATAAACGCATTACCGTTAATATCAGTTTTGTTCACCGATCTCTAATGATGTTTAAGGTATTATCAAAATAAATTATATTGTTGTTAAAATAATATTTTAAATAATGCTAGTTAAGTTTAAAATTTTAAAAATATGTTTAAATATACACTTCATACTGTAGTAGTCGTCAGTAACCATGCATAATATTGTTATATTTCCCAATATATAACATTGTTTCCACATTGAAGAATCGGATAAGTGAAAATTTCCGAGTGATGGAAAATAAATAAAAAGGTGCAGCGAGCTCAATTGACGGTAGTCGCGCGCAAACGCAATAATCGTCATGTGAAATAATCAAATTGTCAATCGCGAAAACCTGTTAACTAGGCACGCCAACGATCATTGTTCATTTTTGTCAGAATCGAATTTATTGGAAATTCACAGCAGCTCGCATAGGACACACACATGCACACTCCAGTTTCATTTTATCGATTGTCCTTAGTATTGGAAAAATTGAACGCCCCTTACGACACGCATTATTATAGGTACGTGACAGATACGCTCGATCATAATAATAACAATATAATGGTGATCGAACACATACACTCGATTTGCGGATGACATCAATTTACAGAAATGGTTAACAAATCAGTTTTCGCACGCATAAATATTAATATAATAATGTGGAAGAATTGGTTTTTCAAATAATTTCCATTAAACGTATGTATAGGTAAACATTATACTTTAAATTGTAATATTGTATAATAGGATAGCTTCTACCGTTTACGGCCACATGTACCTCGAAATCAAAAACTTTGCCGTCGTCTTCCCCAAACGTCGATTTTACTTGAATTTTTTTTTCAATTATCTCAGAACGGAAAACGTTTGTAATCGTTATCGTAAAACTATCTTAAGTATGTCCGTGAAAAAATCATTTAGAGATGATCCGGAGATAACAAATTATTTTACAAAAAATATTTAAACACCGTTGTTTCATGAATGCATCGATACAAGTAGGTCGAGCACTCATCAAAAAAATACATTTGACAGAACATCAATAAATTGTTCTATAGAGCTATTTTATAAATAAGCGTATGCAAATAATTACACAAATAGTTTTATTTGATTTTTTAATAGTGAATAAAATTTGGCACCTACACATTAGGCAATACATTTTTTCATCGTTGCCGTGACCACATTTTAACGTTTCGAAAAGAATAACTATTAGCGGAGTGTTCGAAAGGTTTTTACACAGAAAATCAATTAGGCGTTTCTTCGTTTAAGTATATTATTCTTGTGGTATTCGACCGTGAGATGAACAATATAATAATCGAGAAAAATATTTTCAAAAACCGTTCAAATGCAAACCTACATTTTTTTACGACGGACGTACGCCCGAAACAGTCGCTACATGCATTGTCGTCTGAATACCTAGGACGCGTGTTTGCGACAGATCAGCGGGACGTCGTGGTCGTTGGCTAGTTTTCATTCACGTCAAAATACAAAATATATTGTTATAATATTATGTAGGATGTGTTATGATCGTGTTTGTGTCTAACTAACGAGTAGTCATAGCGTCGAAAACGGTTGTTGGCGGAATCGCTCGAAAAATGCTAACACGCGTATTTTATAATGTATACATTTTCGCAGATAAATTAATGGATATGATTAATTAGGACACGAAAAATTATAACAAGAAAACTGATTTTACGATAGTGGATAGAAAATTATAATGCAATACGGATTGACGGTTTCCATTTTTTAATTCCAATTACTATTGTTTCGTCGACGCTCAAAAATCTAAATCACACACGCACGCACATGTATTGTAAAATGACGTAAAAATAATGCGTACCTATTACACGTTTATATTATAATCGGACTTCCTTGTCGAAATTATCGATTTCGAAGAAATTGACACGTGTCTGTTTATTGGATCTGATGCATATAGGTACAACTTGCAATTGAATAACAACCGATATATCGGATAGTTGTATGGCTAGCAGTTTTCACTCTTCGTCACCACCGCCAACATTATGGTCACGTATTTGCGACTGTGTATTGTATGCGACCGCGTGAGCATGTGACTTTCCAACCCAGATTTTGCGAACAAAAATCATTTGAAATCTATAATTTTTAGGTTAAGCGATAACACACGACACTTCGTTTCTTTGACTGCCTGAATTCGAAACGCATCGTCACCGGGACATAGTATTATATGAGTAGGCCTCCAAATTTTTAACATTATTTCTGAAACTACTTAAAAACCCTCTGTGAAAATTATCTCTCGAAAACTAAAACAATAATAAAACGCGACCAAATCTTTAATGTGGTCTTTAGATATATTTAAATTTAAATTCAATGTTAAAAACCTAGCATGTATTAATGTTTTATAAACTATTCATGCAACATGATGGTAGATAATTGTTGAAATATGATTATTATAATAATCATGTAATTATAATTTTGCTACACGTATTCGTATACTAAACGACTAGTGCCTAAAACGCTATTATTGTAATTTTTTTTTTTATTAATGTGTTTTTTGATAATGATGATTTTAACTAAGTCTCTTATTTAGTAATTTTCAACATTTGAATTATGATGACTAACTATTAAAATATTTTATACTTAACGATACAATTAAAAAATATAAGAATAAAGGGTAAAAATAAATATTTAATTTTAAATGGTGATGTAAAATTAAAAATATAACATTAAAAGTAATGATAAATTTTGATAATAGATAACTTATTTTTAATCACCGTAAAAATAATAACAAATATCTATTAACTTCTGTTAATCGTGTCAAAAATAATAAACTTCTTGACACATTTGATTTTATTCAGTAACACACTAGTTGAAAAACACTAGTCTAACTATTTTAATATAGTCATTGAGTTAGTTTTATATTTATTGTAATTAATATCCAGATAAAAATGATATTATAAAATCAATAAAAAAAATAAAAATAAATACTTATTTTAATAATTCATCACACTTGTATAATGACGTAATTTTATTTCTTTAGTGTATACTTTTACCAAATAAATAGGTATGGAACGATTCGTATGTATGTATCGAGGTTATTATATTTACCTTAAAGAATTTTATACCTAGAATCTCACGGTTCTTATTTATTTTTTAGGTTATTTCAATATTAATAAGTAGATAATTTGAATAAACACATATAAAAAATGATAAAATATAGTAATATTATGCACAGATACAAAGTTATACAGATCTCAACTATCAATATATGCTGTGAAATTCAAAAAAATAGTTTGCTGAGTTTCCCACAAAAAAAGAACTAAAACTTCATTAGATATATGTTTAGATTGTATATCTTAACATGATGAATATTAAAGTATCTTAATAATATAAGAATATTTTAATTACTTTGTTTAAAAAAAAAAAAGAATACAACTTACTTTTTTTTAATATTTTACCATCGTTAAGCTAATATGGCTTACCTATTTGATTGTACGCACTCAGGCGCGCAACTTAATTTATACAAAACAAAAACTTACTTTTTTAGAGATTTGTTTTGAATCTATGTTAAATTGATAATTATCAACGTTTATGATTTCAAAAAAGTTTTAAAATAATACATCATGGTTTCAAGCTCAATAAAAAAAATTAATACAAAAAATAAAAATCATATAATTTAATTCAACATGGTAGAAAACAATTCACCAACACAATACAAATATTATAATAATATAATACAACTGTTTATAATCATTATACCGATTTCATTTTTTCCACTTTAAGTGAATAATTGATGATATAATTTTCATTAGAAAACCAATTTTAAGGCCTACACATATTTAAGAAAATCGATACCTCCTAGAAAAAAAATTAACCTCCTCTTTAACTAGTATATGCTATTTGAAATATTTGAATGGTGTTGGTGAACAGTCCGCGCGGAACGATCGTAATGGCTCGTAATCGGTATAATATTATTATTGTTGAATCGGGAATAATACATGAGTTATTGTTATTATTGTTGTTGTATTTTTTTTTTTTTTTTAGAAATTATACTTGTAACATGAAAGTACCGATGTCGCTTTCGATATGTACGAAATACGATCAATGATCGAATTCGTATCTATTGCAAAAATAATTACAATAAGAAAACGGATTTCAATGTAATAATATTATTGTACCTACTTATATGTATCATCAATAATGTTATATTTTCTATATCGTCGCAATCGGAATCGTATTTGTATGTCTTATGGATTTGAGTTTATCAACCGATATGTATGAAAAGAAAAATATATAGTGTTTAATAATCGGTTTATAACACAGTGAAAACTCGGTACATAATATAAACCTATCAATATAAAATAAAACGAAAATGTATCATATGAAGTATCGATGAAAACTAAATTAAGAAAAATCTTTTGATACTTTTATATTTCCGATCGCATGGTGTTGTTATAATTATTTTAGACATCATGAGGAGTTTCTGTGTTTGTTTCTCATCACTTTTTAACTCAAGGAAATTCACTCTCAAATGGTGAGTCTAAATTAGACAATACAACCTATAATATTATAGATATCGATAACATATTATGTCATAGTAAAAACAGCAATTTGATGATACGAAGACAAAAAATAAAAACCGTTAATTTATACATAATATTACCTTCGAGTAATAACGATGACATTGTCCGAAGTTCATCATAACTCTTGTCATTTATTTACTATCAATATTTTTTTTCTGGGTACCCAGGAACTATATTGTTATCAGAATAGTTTAAATTAAAAAAGTCCAGTCACTATATATTATTATTTATAATTCAATATACGTTGCTCATTCATTAAACCGCAATATTATTATATTTCCTATGTAATGAAAAACTAGAGAAAAAGTTAGACTTAAACGTTTGTTTCATTAACCGTCAATATTATTTTTCGTTGGTGAGTCGATATAATCATTTATAATAAACTAAAATCTAACGTCAAAAACGTGATGTTTTCGAATAATGCATCTATTTTCTCAGCGTGAGTTAATTAACAATGCATATATTTAAACCACGGTGTTGTTAAACTGATTTAATATTTTCTTTGATATTTTGCCACAGTTACCTACGCGTGAAACTTACAATTCAGTCGTACTATCAATTTTTCTTTTTTTTTACAAATCATATTATCTACAAAATTATAAAAATGTTCTGGACGGAGGTCATTAATAATTGAGTTCATAAACCATGAACGCAAATGTTATAGTTATGATTTGAATACCCGCTGACATATTATTTTGTGTCAAAAATCAAAATCTATAAACCTTAAAAACTATTGTCTGTTTTCTTCACATATCCAATTTGAAAATAATTTAATTTTAGGTATCCCAACGATGACAAAGCACCGGTATGTCACATGCATCACCTTTTAGTTGCATCCTAGCAAATTGGTATAATATTTAATATCTTTGATAGTTCATTCAAACCCTAAAAAACCATGCCGATCACCATTATCGTATTTTGTTCAATAATAGACTCATATTATCGTGCTATTCACAGATTTTTATAAAAATCATAATAATATTATGTACATAATTCGACATTCATTGTATTGTATTTTTTTTCTTCTATCGCAGTGTGCACATACTCAAATAATATGAACGTAATCCGTTCGAAAATCGATTAACAGTTAAGTACATGAACGGAGATGTCGGTAAAGCATACAGGTGTAATATGAAGTCTATAAATGTAAAAATAATAATGTAAAGCGTTTAATGTTGATTTTTAATCTTATTATTCGGGTGATCTAAAATACCTACAATGTATTTGAATAATTCGTACCTATAGTTCAAATAATTAATATGCATTAATACACGGGATAAAAAATAATTATATTATTGAAAGAATATTCTCGTAACTAACGCAAATATCAAAAAAAAAAAAAAACTTTTGAAATGATTTAAAATTTAAACTTAAAGTGAATTCGAGGTACTTAGATAAACTTTCATAATTTTTTACGCCTTTTTTGTAATGCATCGAGTTTTGACTCTGATTCATCTGTAAATGATATATACGAAACGATGTGAACGGAGAGACAGACGCTTTTGTCGTCCAACAGGATGTAAGACAGTTATTATACGGAATATAGAACAGCGCGTGTATATATATATACATACTTTTTTCATGCTCTCGGCTGATTCATTGTAGGATCTGAAAAATGCGGCGGCTGTGGAAGAGTTGTCGGAGTTGATATCAGCAGCAGACTTGTCAAACGCTGCTGTTTCCGGCGATACTGGGGCGTCGGAAGTCGGTTGGCTCCGAGTTTCGGACAACGTCAACAGCATAAGAGCGGTCATCAGGACCGCGAAGTCGCGGCGACCATACATGACGATGGTTTGATGTGATACAACGTACGATATAATGGTCCTATACGCGTCTACTGAACGGCAGACGTTGATATTATACGACTATTAAGACCAATCGGAAATGTGTGTGCGTGTGATAATTATTAACGTCACGTGTACACGACAATATTAAAATGTTATGACGTCGTGTATAATGTAGATGAATCGCGTGCTTGTCTTTACACGACAGTTGTGAGCGGAGGGCGATCGAACGCTGTGACGGTCGCGAGGTTGTGTGATGCGCCGGGACGCTGCGAGATCAGTTATAGGCGGACGGCGGGGCCGGCGATTTGGGTCGCGCGGCAACTGTTCATCCCGCCTCGCGAAAAAACCACGGTAGGGAAAACAGCCGTGTGTATACACACTCGTGTAAACACTATATCAACATATTTTTATAACATAAGAAAATAATGTACGACTTAACGATATTTCATGCGTACGGGAAGTATGGTATTTAGTGTATACGATGTGTATGAGTTAGGACTCAAAAGCGATTAGAAGTGTTTAATGGGTTATTCAGAAGTTCTATCTCGATAAATTACTCGATTAGAGACATACTAACAAACAGAAATTACTGAAGCTCGATGCGTTTGACCAAAACTATTTATTTTATGTGTCGACTGTATGCATTACTTAATCCAAATTTCCTAAGCAATGTCCTAAATACGACTCAATAGTATTATAGTTGGCTATTTATTGGATTGCTTATCAACTATATTCATCCCCATTTTTTCGTTAAACGATAAGAATTTTGGAATATTAAGACTATTTTTTTAAATACTTAGATTTGTGTGTAATTTAAAATGTATCTAATGGTATTGATTTATAGAGAATGAAACTCCTATGAGTAGTTTTTAAGTTATTAAACCTTAAGTACAAAGGATATATTCCATAATAATATACTTAGAATACATAGAATTATGAAAGCTATTAATAATTTAAAGTAAGTAATTAATGTTTGTTTGTAAAAATTATTTGAATATAATAAATGCTATATAAATTATTAAATATATTATACATTTTATGTAAAAGTGTAAAACCATTGTTAAGGATTATCAGGTTTTAACTATTGATATATAAAGAAGACTCAAAAAAACTACTAGTTTGAATTTTGATTTAGACGCCTTAAAAATGTTCATAGAAATCATCTGATGAATAATTCACAGTAAAAAATGGTAGTTAAGTTTGTCTTTGAAATATCTAATTATTTTAAAATACCTAATATAGACTTTAAGTGAGTATTAAAGAATTCTGAAAATCGGAATATTTGAATAAATTTGTTGTCATAGAACAAAAAAACGGATGAGCGTAATTAATGAACCACCTTGTTTATAATAATACACCATTTAATAAATTATGTATTTATTCATATTTATTGTAATTGCTTTACGCAAATGATTCAAAAAAATGGTGATGAAGGGGGTATGAAAGATGCATCTCAAAATTGCCACATTATTATGTTAAGCTTTTATGGACCCATTTGAAAAAGTCGTATACATTTTGCAGATAAATTTTTGACTTCACTTAGGCACATAAAAAACTTGTATGATGTATGTATATGCATGGTTAATAGTTATTGCGCCTACGCGTCGGAAAAAGAAAGGAAACACAATGCGTCGCTGGAGCCGATCATATCACGACCGGACTGCCCCATTATAGCGCATGTGTTTATTGTTGTCATAATGTATAATATAATATAATAATAATATTATTATTACTATTATATTCACGTAGCATAAAAGACTATTAAAATTTACGCGCGCGCGACGTGCGTTGACCATTTTTACACGATCCGATCCGGAGCTCATCATACGCGCGTACCTAAATATGCTCAGAGTACAACTACATAAACATAACTATACCTATATGAATACTACGGAACGTTGCGTGACAACGATATCGTTTTGCTTAATTTAATATCACGTTAGTACGTCACTCGTCAACAGCTACCGCTAGATGTGGTTCCACGTGAATGTATAACGACTACCGATTTGGTTACGCTGTAAGGGTAAAGATAAATCTGGAATTGTTGGATTTTGTTGTAATTATTATTAGTAAAATACAAACTTATCAGTAAAATGTTGTAACAAGAGTCTTAAAATATTTTTAATGTAATTTACTTGTTTATACCTATCCAAACGACATGACTTAAAATATATATTATTATTTATTAGGATCGGTTTTTTTAACAGATTTTACTTTAGGAGAAAATACACGGTGATTAATATGTATGTAAAAAACAATATATTATATTGAATATAATTATGAAACAAATATAAATACCACTTAAATTACTTGTTGAGTGCATAACGTTTTCCATGCTGGATCTCAGATGTGGAATATAATAGTATTGGTGTACCTACAGCATGTAAATAATCTCATTATGGTCGTAAATATTCTCAGACAGATTTTCCCGTCGAAGCCCATTTGTTCGAAAACACATACATATTATAAACCTTTTGCATTTTTGTTTAACTTAAAATAAGTATAAATACTCATTACGATTGTGCGTTTTAAGTATTTAATAAGGTCTATAAATTATATACATGTACTATATACGATGTTCGTTTGCAGAAGTAAAAATACTCATAATGACAACATAATAATAACATATAATAATCTCGCTATGTATATATATAATTGCTTTGTTGTCTGATTTTTCAGCAACAGAGATAAACTGCTGAACTTGATCATAAGTCACGTCCGCCTCGGTAAGGTCTGGCAAGTTATTCCAATTATCATACTTCTTAGGTTCTAAGCGTAAGTAAAATATAATGCGTATGCCATGACTCGTAGTAATGGTGGTCGGATTTAAAGTGTTGTACAACGAAACAAAATATTTGTGCGACTTGCTTGTTGGTACATTATGATCGTTATCTTAGCACAAAATTCAGAAAATTATGACAGTTAAGTTTATTAAGTTAGTATAACGTTGACGAACTGATCAATTTAGACTCAATTACGTGATTATTCTCACTACGGTAAATATGAGACGAGTGATAAATATTATATTTTTTGTTTAGATGAACGTGTAATAAGAAATCTTTGATCAAAAATCAAACAACCAAAAATCAAAATAATATTCGGCTCAAAACAAATACAATATATAACACGCATATAAGTTTCAACATTGTTATAAAAATAAAACGGTAATAAATAACAATGTATCTATATTATAATATTGCTTAGTAGATTCTCATGTTATATCAAAAAACTTTAATAGCGCATTACCACACCGTTACATTCTGCAAATATTTTCAATGCAAAATAAATATGGAATAATTGAAATATAGGTACGATCAATATAAAAATAGTATAAATCTAGAAGAAATAGAAAAATTTAGCACGACACATTCGGACCTAACAAAGAATCCACCAAAAACATATTATCATTTATGAAAAATATTAAATTATAAATTTAGTTTAAATTATTTAAGTATCTATGTAAAACAAACCAATGGTTCCGTCATCTAAGCTTTTTTCTTTAGTATAAAAAAAAAAAAAAATGAATAACTCACCAACAATTTAGACTTATCAAAAACTTATAAACAAATTTATGTATATATAAGTAAGTACTTTCAAATAGTATAATATTTATATAATAAATATTAATACTATTATATAGTTTGATATTTTTTGTATATGTACAATATTTCAATCGTAATAAATTTCTATTTGTTTGTTTTCATGTAAAGTCGGTATTATATTATAGTATTGAAAATCATATAGATCAACACTATTATTTCATGTTTAAAATAATTCAAACATTTTTAAAAATACATTTAACTGCAAAAAAAAAAATGTTTCTAGTTCAAAAAATGTTTTAGAAATAAAAATTTGATCATATTTTTATTTTCACTTTTATTGACAGTTAATATTTTACGTTAGACATCTACTGCATATCATTACTTTATTTTTGTATAGACAGAAAGATGATCCCGAGATATCGCTTTTTATTCAATTAGAAATTTTTTATTTGGACATTTAGTGTATTTTTTGACAATAGTACTAGAAATCTGGCATTCACGATTGCTAATTGAGCATATGCAATTTATAATATCGAATAGTAAAATATTTATGCACACATCGGTATCTTTTAAGTATTGTATTATATGAATAGCTGCTATCGCTTGTCACGTTTCTACAATTATTATTTATTTAAACCGCATCGAAAAACGTTATACGATTATTAGGATACTAGTAACAACTAACAAGTCATTAAGTATATAATCACAAGTCAAACACCTTTGAAGAAAGTACAGCTACCTAAAATTATATTTAATGAATATATTTTAGATAATATATACACTAATAATTTAAAACTAATCACTTGGTAAATATAATTTATTTTTAAATTGAACATAACTATGTTAGACTTAAGAAATTGTTATACAACGTTGTATTACTATATTCATTGATTTAGATAATTTAACTTAAAATTAATTAAATTATAATAATAATTTAGCCATAAAAATATGTGCCTTAAAATCATAAATATATTTTATTCTATTTTTACATAATAATTTATTTATAGCATACTGTATATTAAAATTTTTTTATGAGTGATACGTTTTAATTAGAAAAAAATTATATCTGTTCCATATGATTTTTCATAATATAATCCATTATACTTGAGAAGGATGGGTTAAGTTATTACTTTAATTCCTAAAGTTCGATAAATATTTTTTAATCAATAAATTCTAAGAGAATAAACTAAGAGGAATTATTACCTCATAGGTTAAAAAGCTAGGTACTTTATCTATTGAAAATGTCTTTGACTATAATATGTAAACAGTAGGTAAAAAAAAATCTAAGCAATATTGAGTAAAAATCCGGTCTTATAAAGTTATTGCGTTGACTCAAATTAAATAATAATATGTTTATATATTTTATACTTGGCTCAAGAAAATATTATACTTAAGAATACACACAGTTTTGTATGAGCTCTATCCACCACATAGGAAAACATTTTTTTGGTAGAACAGTATTTGAGTATTAATCTAAAAACATAAGGTAAGATATAGGCTTGAACAATTTACATGGTTGCTGTTTAAATACAGATTGTACGTCACAGTCGAATGGGTTAACTAAGATTGCAGAGATAATAATTGGCGAGATTATGCGTCATTGAATTATTTTTCAATACATCGTTGACTCGATTACGGTTGATCGCCTACTATTGTGAAACGAATATAATATTAAATATAATCGTACGGACGATGGACTTATTCGAGTATATTGACGGACATTTAAATGAACACGTAGGGGCAGAATACGCGCCAGCAAATCGACAGCTAATAATAATAGTATGATAAATAATAATAAATAATATTTTGTACTGTTCGATTAAACGTGATGATATTCGACGAGAAATCACATTGTTTTCGGCATAAAATGCGTGAAATGCAGCTGTTGTCGGTATGCCTAATATATCATGCGGTATAATGTACAATAATAGTTACGTACGAATTTAGAAGTTTTTATTATTTGACGGATATACCCAGACACGGAGGAAATCTGTGCAAAGTCGTGGAAATTCGTTGACATCGTCATTGTCGGAACGCGTATGAAAATCAGTTATAATAACGGCAACAATAAAATCACATCGCCAATAGAATAATATCGTATGACGATTCGTTGATTTTTCTCCGACGCGATTTCCACGAATATACGACAGTCGAATATTTTTTTAGTGTTAATTGACGTTTTTAGACCCTTTGACTTGGTGGTATGCGAATTCCAGTCGTCCCCGCAGTCGTTTGTTGTTTCCTGCAGCTTTCTTCAAACACAGCAACCTTGTAGATCACCCATTTTTGATCGTCTGGCTTGACATCTTGTCATTTGTGTGATTAATGATATTAGTAAATATTTTCAGTATTGTCCTACAAATTCGGTTCAATTAAAGTTCAGCAACAGCAATAAACACGTTTCAATAAAACTCTTTATAGATCTGTGTATTATACTTTTTTTAGAAAAGACAATCGAATACATTAATATAATAATAATAATAATAATAATAATAATAATAATAATAACAACAATTACATTCATAATATTATAAGGATAATAATAATAATAAATAATAACAAATATAATCATGACGTGTAAACGAATAAGAATGTGGTGGGCTACTGTATTAATGCGGCGGTTGTAACGGATATCCATTGTAGTACTCTCCGATCGATTGCTGCTGCTGCTGTGGGTACCCTGCAGTATAAGGTTCATGGTGCACTTCTGACGAGTAGCTGTGACCATGCGTAATCTGTGGTTTGGCGACAACTTCATATACAGTTCCTGCCTTGTCTCCAGACTTGTGCCATCCTGATATCCAACCGGAGCTCAAGCACGTCAACATGATAGCGCCGAACGCAAACAACAGCGCTTTGCTGGCCATTATGACCATCGACAGTGCGCCCAGTGAGAACAGTGTACCGCCCGAAATGAGCGACGCACCCACCACATGCTCCATGATATCGTCTTTTTTTCCTGAAAAAATATAACGTATATTAATAAATTATAACAATATTATAATCTGTTGGCTAATAATATTAATATTAAAAAGGTATATTTCATGTTAACCATAGCGATTCCCCACACTTCTGAAGTCCAAGGCGACGGCAAATCATTAAAAATTATCACACTTAATAGTCATACTAAAACATTACACCGTTTGTATAAGAAATAAATATTTTATTTTAAACTATAATGTTCATACCAAAAAAATATTATAATGGCATTCTTAAGCAAATTCGATTTATTTATTTATATCGACTAATGCACTTTAAAATACTAAAATAGATAAAAACTTGTAAGATATATTAAACGCACCAAGATCAATACATATCAATAATATGAACACACATATAAATTTATTATTTTTAAATAAAAAATATCTATCAATATAACGAAGAGAAAATTGTATTACTTAAAATATCAAATAAACAATAAAAGGTGTCGAATGGTTTGCCTATATTTTTAAATTTAAGTTTTTTAAAACTATGGTTTTTCATTAATATTTTATGTATTTTCATTAAGAAAGTAAAAAAGATAAATTTATAATTTTACACATGAATATAAAATATTCGTGACATGATTTATTTTATGTCTTAATAAAATGTTGTTAAAATATTAATAGCTTACGTCTTGTGCATCACAACATTCATAGATCAATAAAAAAAGTACGTGTGTATATTTTTTAGATTGAAGTAATAAATAAAAACATTAAAATATTTTAATAATACAATTTAAAATAGTGAAATGATAAAATAATTATCTCTTTTTTTTTTGTTATTAGTAATAAAATAGTTTTGGAAATTTTTTCTTCATAACTAATATAATATCATCATAACAATGCAAAAAAAAAAAAATAATATTTTTTTTTATTCAGTTATCATAGTTTATTTAAAGGTAATGTTTTAATGGTATAATGTAGAGTTAACATTGTAGAATGTAGACTTCATTTTTATTATTTTTACTAACCAGGAGAGTGATGTTTCTTTTTTCCCAAAAGTTGTGTGTACGGGACACCATAACGTTGTCCGATGTTCACAACTGCTGGTGTAATTTGTGTGGATGTCGGTAGATCTGAATTCTCGGGTAGTGGCATGCCATCAAATTCTTCTGAAAATCCAAGCCTGTATTAATGTTTTATTCGCACTGATTCCTATATTATACGTAATTAAATTTAAACGGAAAAAATGTGTTTATAGAAAAAAAAAAACCATGAGTTTCAATGTGTGTTTGGATGTTTGTTAAAATACTGTAGCATTATTACACCCAATAGTTGTAAAGATAAATATAAATAAACTATATCTGAGTGTGGAAGTATCAATTCCATACAATACAAGAAATAATGAAATTTATTATTTTAGTTCGTTCTTTAATCGCTAGAAAGCACTCTGATTATATTAAATCTGTTTATTTTGAAAGTATTAAGTCGATAACAGTTAAATGGAATAGGCAACTATACTGGCAGATAAGAACAGTATATCATCCAACTGTTTTGAAATTCGGAGCAATAATGATAGTTTTGTTGTTTAAAGGTATTAAATTGCATCAATCATACATAGCAATATAATTTAATAAATAGTTTTTTTTTTTTTTTGTTATCGCGACTTTCCAAATTAATTCACCTTAATTATTCTCCTAAATCCTTTTCAAAGTTCTTGTATATTTTTCCTAACATAATATAATTTCTTTTTTGCATTTATCGTTCTTAAAACAATATAGTTTCAAATGTTTCAATGAATCACTACGTCGTCGAATATGTGCAGTCAGTGATTCTAACCTCCTCCCCTTTTTATTATTTTTAATATTTTACGTACCTAATCTGAAAATGCTATTATAAGTACTCAGACATTTTTATTGTTATTAAATATGACATCACTATGCTCAACATATTTTAAATGCTCTATTGATAAATTTATTAAAGTTTTTTTTTTTTTTTATGTTGACATAAATAAAATATTAAGAATTTAATTTGATGCATGTAATAATTTCGTATTGTAAATCATTCAATATTCTATGTTTGATCGTTGCAAAATAGTCTTTGAACAATGATTCATATGTGTATTCTGATTTTAATGCATGAGTAAATATAATATACGCGCGGCATATTAGTAATCATTTGAAAATATGTTAAATGATTATCACATTATTAGTTAAAAATTAAACACATAATGGGGTTAAAACAATTAAAATATTCAAAGACGTAATATATTACGTACATAGTTTTCAAAATTAAATAAATTATGTTTTTGTTTTAATTTTTTTAAATAATATATTAATTACATTTTAACTAAGGAATTTAACTATTGAAAAAAAGAAGTTTTTTAACATTATAATATTTGAACAAATATAATAATATCATGTAAACCGTTATTTGTTTAATATAAACGTCTAAAGAAATTTATCGAATCTTTTGCTTTTCAAATGACAAGTCGTTTTTTTATAATAAATTACAATACCAATAATTAGAAATAACATTCTATATTTTAATACCTTGTTTCATCGATGTTTCCCAAAACTTGTTAAATTCAGATTCTTTTTTCGCGGCACTATGGTTAAACGCTGACATAGGTATCACAGTAGCAAGAGTAGCCACACAAATTAATTTCAGAGACATTATGGTTTGAAAACACATTGCCATCGACTATGATAACACCTCGATGAAGACTGAACATAATGTTTACATGTCTTTTATTAATAAAACTTAGCAAATGCCAAGTCAGCTAGTGTGTGAACTGTTTGTGATTTATTTAATTTTTTTACGTGTGTCTTTGTGTAAACAATTGAGTGCATGTTTTTAGAACAATAGCGCACATCTTCTTCAAGTCAAAATAGTCATCTTTGACTGTAATGTTTTGCTTTGGTAATTTTTTTTTCTTTCTTCTTGTTAGCCACAATGAAGTGTTTACTGAAATCGATTACTCGTATCACACATTTGTAATGTAAATGAGTATTTTGTGTTTTCTATTCAGTCGTATAGCGTGGGTGTATTATATTGTTCTTTAACAACTCATGCATATATATAATAATTATAAAAGAATAAATTGTGTCTCAATTTTTTTTTTTTAAATATCAATGTTTGAATATTTATCATTATTAGAAATATCATATTATGTGAATATGTATGTCAGATATTACAGTCCACATTAAAACCGTTTAATTATAAGAAAAAAATATGTAAGAAAATAATTCATTATAACTATTTATTTAAAATTATTATTATAATTTTTTATGAATTAATCCTATAATAATATAGTTCATTAGAGTCCTCTATATTCAATAACAATGTGTATTTTTGTTGTTTACAAATATTATTTTAGTTAACTAAAATCATACAAGTGAGTTAAAGTCCTTTTTTTTACTTGAAAAAAAAACATAAATTATACATTATATTAATTTTTTTGACATAACTATAGTCTATCAGACTATACAATACATAAATTACATTGTATTTGTGTCGATCTAACAATATACAATAATAAATTAATGTTGATAAAATATAATTTCTTTTAATTTGCACGTAGTTTTTTTTTAATTAAGTACCTAACAAAACTATTAGATGTAGACATTTGATAAGCAGATAATATATCATAAATAAAAATCTTATTATTACCACAAATTTTTAATTATTGGAGTAAAAGAACAACTATAAATATGATATAAATAAATAAAATTTAGAATACAATACGAAGAAAAACCTAAGAAATTGAAAATTTATTAAAACATGTGCAATAAAAAGATCTTTAGTATGAACTTAATAATTTTCAAAACGTATTTATAATGTAATATGTATATTCTTGGCTTTAAAGAAAATATTTTAAGCTCTAGAACTTAAAAATCGTACACTATTCTAACAGCATTCTTATATTTTGTTCTCTTATATGCTATAATATAAACTTTTTATTATGTATCTAGAAGTTTCTGGAGGATTTTATTCTAAGCTAAGATTCATTCACAATAATAGTGTGTATTATAATACTATATATATATATATATAACAATAGTAGAATGTAAAAAGAAAATTATATTACTATAAGAAAATTAGTAATGTAAAGCCAGTACATTGGACCTGGAATAGAATCATCGGTTCTATAGCTAGGTGTGTCTGCTTGGTGTGCGCACGTTTTATGTCGGTAATTTTTTTTATATTATATATACCTAACCCACCTAGTAGCCGCGGTTGATTCACACGCGCGCACGCGCGTTCGAAAAGAGAGAAGAAAGTGCTGCAGATGCCTGATGGGCGATTGACGATGGAAAGTAGTCTGGAGGCCGCGGATCGATGTTCATTTTATTTATTTCATGCACTTAGAATACCTATATATCTATGACTGTATAGGGACTGTGCGCTTGCGACTAGTTTCTTATTGTGGGTCAACACAACCTTGGCCGTAACATTCCGACGTACGTTTCCCATCCATCCATGTGTATATACACACACGCATACATCAAGGACACGAATTCAGGTCATATATATACCGCCTATCCACGACTTGTTGTAATTATTTTAGATGGGTTAAGTTATACCTACGCTACCTACGTTCGAATAATGAAAAAAAATAAAATAAAAATGTTAAGTCGTTACAACCGTTTAATATTCGAGGAAGAAAATGTATTAAACATGGTGTTACACCTTAATATAATAATATAGCTGTGAACTCATAACTTATAGATCACTAAAATAATAACATTTTTGTTTAATTTTCATCATAATAATGCTATAAATACATGATGATATTTATTCAAAAAATTGAGAGTCGTTTTATATATGTTAGAGATTTAAACGCACGGTTTATTGTTGCTGCTTTCGTTATATTTCATTCTACTCGTTGAAACAGCTACTATTCAAATACAGAATTAAAAGCTCAATCATAATAAATGAAAATTATCACTTTTACGAGTTTTTCGACTTATTTACTATTTATAATTCATAATTTTTGAACTGACACATTGGTATACTAAATTTTGGCTTATATTCTGATTACGAATGTTTTGCTGCTAGTATCTCAATACCCTCTTGGGAATATTTTTGTCTTATAAATGTATTTAAAATAAAAGTACATGAACATCTTTAGCTTTAATATGTAATTCCACCTTATCCAAAATAAATATTCAACTTTACAAATTATTTCGTCTAAAATTTGTTTGTAATGCATATTAAAATAATATCATAGCATAAGGCCAATCTTACATTCAGATTTTTATAGAACCATTAATAAAAGTCTAAATGATTAGAAGCAGCAATTATGTATAGACATCAAAATTCAACTAAAATTATTGAAAAACTGTTCGATATACACCACAGAAATCTTAGCAATTGTCAAGGTAATCAAATGTATTAAACAATAAGTGGAAGACAACTGTTTCATAATACTAAGCACGTTGCCCAAAATACTCAACACCTCAACAAATACAGTAAGAAATATTCATAATGACTTTTTTATATTTTAGTCAAATAATAAAAATATATATTTTATATAGATTCAATGGTATAGCTATATCCTCAGCAATCTCTCATAACATTCCCACACCACCGCATAGGTATACAAAAACCAAGCGCATTATACTTGGATATTAAAAAATAACGTACTATAAAGTCCTAAACAAATTATTGGAAAAATTTATTTATTAAACAAATTGAAATATTTTATATTAATAAGAATTGTCAAGCTATCATATTATTGTGTACTAATAGTTATAAAAAAAAAATAAAAATAAATAATAACTAAATAAAAAAATTGATTACTTCTAGCGGCTGGCTCATCTACAAAAACCTCACTTAAAGACAGAAATAATTATTAACCTACTCAAAATAGGACATACATTATTAACCTATCGATTCTTCGTGTTGGAGAAAAATTGAATCATAGGTACCTACTACCTAATATATTTATGACGTACAGCTCACGGTAAAACATAGCTCTCCTTTAGAATGCCGCAATCTCCAACAAGAGCGTGAAACAACGCTTTCCTCTATTTACCTTCAAATACCTGTAATATTCAACCTGGATCCTACCGCAACAATAATACTACTCAAATTTATTAAAATAGTTAATACCTACCAAGAAATATAAACAATAATTTATCTACTATTTTAATTTTAAGCATACCTTTGTAAATTTTCTGTTATTTAATATGGTCATTGCTACAACAGGTATAATATATATTTAATAATAATAAAATAGTTGTTGATTGTCTAGTTTATAAATATATTATAAAAGTATAAAATTAATTTACATCTTTACTGTACTTCATATTGTTGATAAATTAGTCTAAATAACCGAGTTTTTTTTTTTTTTATTCGAGTCTTTACAATTTGTAATTAACTCGTTCATCATTGTTTAATATATTATACTAAAAATTGTTTAAAAATTTAAATTATAAGGATTTTAAAGATATTTTATTTTTATTTTCGAGTTATATTATAAATCACATTAGAATTATTTTCACGTCTCGACATGTTTCGAAAAGGTAAACAGTTATTTTATTCAATTAATCAATTTATTACACGCTGAAGAACTCAGATTTATAATAATAGTATAATGGTAGGAGGAGTTGTGTTTCTCAAATTCGTAATAAATAAATATATTTTATATTTAGTGATGATTTTAAGTTTTATATTGGATAAATCTAAAAGTATAAAATCTATCGAAACTTCCTAATTTACTTCATAATATTATGTTATCTTTAAGATAGATTTTATTTTTTTAATGTATTTAATAATAAAGAATTTTTATAAATGTTCAAAATATTTTCTTCATCATATTATGAATAATATTATTTACGAGCAACACTCATATTTATTATGATTCTCTGACCAACTTTAAACCTTAGTGATTCAAATTTATTACAGTTAAAATATTAAAATTAATTATTAAATATTTGAAAACAGAGGTATGTAACGTTTTATAAAGGATAGATAAACTAAATTGATTTGAATTTAACGGATATAATATATATATTTATATATATATGATTTTTTTTAAATGTTTTCTATTCATCTTAAATATCAATATTAATAAACAATAATATAACGTTTTACTTTTGAAATTATGCATATCATTATAATAACCATATTATTTATATATATATATATTATATACTATAATTAATTTTTATTTTACAAAAATATTTTCATAATGTATAGATTATGTTAGTTATAGTAGATATAAGCATATAGTTAATAACGCTAGAAATATTATTCAATCAATTAGTAACTTAGTTTTAGATTAAATTGAATAATATAATTTAAATATAAATTTATGACACAACAGCCTAAAAATTAAATTTTAATAATTTGTTTAATATAATATACATACTAAACAAAAGTTTAAAATGACATTAACATTCCGTACACATATTAAATATAGATATTTATTATCATATCCTTACAGCATGACGTATTTTCTTTAAAATTGTATATAATATTAATAACTATATTATAATGTTTTATAATTTTCTTTAAGATATTTCAGGATAAATTATGACAATAAAATACTATTTTATATTATTTGAGAAACACAATGCATTTTTATACACCCAACACTATTACTAACTTCAATCATGAGTTGTTCTTATTTAGCTTACATAGTATAATTTTCAATATTGTAAAATAAACACATTTTTTATAAAATTTCTGTATT